CTGAGCTCGTAAAAACGCTCGTAAAGCTTAACGATCTGCCTGGCGGTTGACTGGTCAATCTGTTGTTGTTCATTCACAGTTTTTTTTTTGTTTTTTTATCGTTATGTTGTTTAGATCGTTGACAGAAATGAACGGACGATCGTTCTATAAACATAGCTCGCTTCAGCCAGTTGGAAACAAAGATGAAAGTGAAAATCGCTGTCACTGAAAAGCCTTAGATCAGCTGATGAACTAGCCCCTGGTGACATTTGTGTGAATAAAAAACGTTGGATGGTGCAGTGTAATTTGAGGGATGAGTTTATATGCGTAAGATGCTCTACGCCACTTGCTAATATTTTGTCTAGCAGGCGGTGTGCGGTTCGAGCGACCGCTGTTTCATCGTCAACTCGGAGCTGGTTTCCAACAGAAGCGTGATCAGCAGAGGCCATGACCATCCTCGGATTCCGTGTGGCATTAGCCGCGGCTCAGTCTGGCATGGATTCCCCGAAGTGCGCACACCGGCATACGCCTCCGGCTTGGCGCACAGCCCGTGAAAGCTCTTAATTTGACGGCATCTGCCGTTGGCTTTCCGTGACGTTTTTAAGCTGTTTTGTTTTAATGGCCTGCTGAAAGACGCTAATGTAGTGTACGTCGACTGATATATAGGTACGTACATAAAACGCACATATTGGTGACCTATAGCTGGCCTGTCAGGTAGTTCCGAATGCGTACTGTAAAGGTGCCCTGGGAGTTCACCACAGACGGTTAGCTTGTGTGCCTGCTGTAGGGGTTATCACTTTCTTAAATCCGGTAGGGGTCAGCCAAAAAGTTGGCCCAACCCCCCCAAAACGTGATTTCTCCCCGGATTTGGGTCACTTCAATGTGCGTCCTCGACTTCAACATATTCCAGCATCAAGCTGATTAAAATTGTTTTCCCGCGGAGGAGTGCTTCCCATCTAAAGCTGTGTAAATGTGAGTAAGTGATCACTGATGACTCCTGTCTCCGATCGTGTTGCGCGACCACCATTGACCACAGCCACGATTATGCCACAAATACACTTTCTTCGTTTGGAGAAGCCTTGCGTGAACTTGAAAACGTGCCATCCTGTACTTATATACACTGCCGTATATTGCAGTCAATTGTTTTATCCTAGGTCCTTAATCTGTTTTTAATCCAGGCGTTGTCATTTAAAAAAAAAAACTTGTCAAAGATTTGCAGCAGCAGTCGATGCGCCCTAAAACCCCAAATCATCATCACACATCAAAGATATGCAGAGTGGCTTAGCATATCAAGCCGTTGGCTACTTCATCATTACAAAAAACATAAGGTACGTACAGGATGCTATTTGGTCCAAAATTAGCATGATGCATACTAGAAGTGCTGTGTTAAGGTACCTACTACCAAGCTTATCAATGGTTAAGATAACTGTTTTGTAAGTTGTTCAGTGCATGAGCGAGGAACATTATTCACGTAGATAAGACAGTAGTGTTAGTCTTATACATCGGAGAATGGAGACGACCAGGAGAATGGAGACATGGTTGGGTTGATATTTCGGCAACATGCCTTTATCAAAGCAATAGCAGACTTCTGCTATTGTTTGTTATTGTTACTACTGTCTTATCTATAACTGTTCTGTACTTATGTGGCCCAGTATTCCCTCTTGGCCCATGTGCATTGAGCGGCTCAAAGGAGCATTGGGGTGGGGCCAGGTCAACATAGGGGGCTCAGGCTCCCCAAAAGAATGTAAAGTGATACCCCTGGCCGGTGGTTTAGGCTACCTCGGAAACGGATTGAATGTTGGTAAGCTGGCGTTTGTTTTGCGCGCAACATGTACGTTCAGGACGTGTGGCTTCGCGTTGGTCATGCGTTGCTAAAAATTATCTGCTAAGGTAAAACCCCGCTTCATCATGCGTTCTGACAGTTCTAAGACGCATGCTTGCGATACGCTTCAGAATAGAACCTGCTTCACCACATGCCAGCCGTTTTGGTGACATTGCTTCTGTGGATGTACCTTCCATTCGCTGTTATCGCCACACATCGGCGGTATCCGCCATGGCGAGTATTTTGGAAAGGAGGCGTTGTTGCTCGATATTCGACTCTTCCGTATTTTTATTTTCCGTGGCCGAGCCTTGGAAGTGTCCTACTTCTAGCCGGCTGCTTGCTGTCATTTAGTCGCTTCGCAAGCCCCCCGGCGCCAGCAGATTAGTAGATATTGCTCCTTCGTTCTTCAGTCTTGCTGTTCTTCATATCTTTCATCTGTTGCCTTTTTCATCAACTGGCATACACAGCCCCACGAACTTTCTTGGTGTAATTTAGCCATACCGACAGGATCCTCCGATCGTTCAGACTGCATTCACTTTAGTTTGACCCATCCTTCCCACATCATTCACCGTTCAAGCTGTCCCCTCACCAACTTTACCAACTGTCTTTTGGGTCCCGTCCCACCAATCTCACCAAACTTGAACAACTCCGCTTCCTCATACTGACCCCCATTGACCCCAGCTTACCCTCGCTGACCCTTGCTGACCCTGGTCTACCGACATCACTCACCTGCCGACCTCAGCTGACTCCGCTGATCCCGGCTGACCCCGGCTGACCCGTCACGCCCGCGGGCGGTCGGAGCCAGACGGGCCGACGCCACCCAGGATAATAGATGTCGGATAGAACGGAGACTAGTACATAAACTCAAGTGTAATGCTAGCAATTTATCAGATGTCCAATGATGTACTAGAACTTAGCATCAAATGGGGTGCCGATGGTGCAGGGTGTAAACGCGTCTGCGTTAACCGCATGCACCGTCGGGGAAACCAGGGATATGGGGCTCGAATCCCCGCGGTACTCGCAATTTTTGTAACGGTGACAGGCAGGCAACGCTATATAGCCTCTGCAGTTGAGTGTGTCGGAAAGCGCCATTGACAATAACCTAGCCTTCACTAGACATTTGACGGTCTTTAAAGTGATGGCAGCTTGACGCAATTGGTGAATGTGTAGTGACTAGTGACAACAGTGTGAATACAACTGTGACTGTGACTTTCGAGTTTAAATGGGCGTTGTGTTACACCTTTTTTTCTTCGAAAAACGTTTGCATTCTTGCACTGATAGCTTACATCGGCTGTTACAAACACCCTTCCTTATAGAACTGGAGAAGTTCTGGATCATCCGGCCTCGAACGCACGACCTTCGTATTACGGACCCGGAAGTTACCGGCCGCGGCACTGAGACCAGGCGGCGTGCCTCGTGGGTCGGAAAATCCGCAGTATACCGCGCACGAAAACTTTGACCCTGTGCGACGTGGGAGTTTAGCTTCTCTCGGCAAAAAATTGTCTTTGGATCGGCGGTAAGACAACGAGACAATCTTTTGTGCCGCCTTCGTGGAAGTGGGCAGAATGGAATTTGATGTACAGCTCTGCGAAAAGCAGGCATATAACGTGCGAGCCTTTGGGGCTGGTAGGAAGAGGACGCCGCAGAGCGGCTGTGCTTACTAACGCCAAGGTACGTCGATGAGTGCCGGCTGCCGCCGGGCGACGGACAGGGTAATCAGCGCGCCTCTGCCCCTTCGCCCCACCCCCACACTCGGACGTCCGACTCGCCTAATGGCGGGGCGGCTGGTCGCTGCGCTCCGTCAACACGGTGATAAATTGTTCAAACCGACCCCCCCCCCCCCCACCCCCTTCCAGCCCGCAGAGCGTCGTTGGCGACGAGAGGGGAGGAGGGCGGGGGGGGGGGGACGTGGCGCCGGAAGAGGCGTGTCAGCGGAGCGGCGCCGAATGCTCAGCGACGCCGGCTTCTGTCCGGGGGAGTGGGTCGAGCTGTCGGTCGCTGCGGGTGTGGGCTGAACGCGCGCTATGGAGGGCGTCCCTTTGTGCCGGGCGCGGGTGTGGACTTAGCCAGGTTTGGTCAGCTGGGATGATGGAAGGCTGTTTTGTGGGCTGACGCACGCGCAGTCGTCGGGTTTGTGTGTGCTGTGGGAGATTGGTTTTGTTGCGGGTCGTTTTCCGTTGATTGGTGCTCATGGTTTCCCTCGCTCGCATGTGCCGAGGCGTTGCGTGCGGATGTAAATTAAAGGGAGTGATCGACATTTTACGGGGTTTTGAACTGAAATAGCCGTCTTCGAGATCATTCGGTGCAGTTCACAGCCCTTCCCTTCCTGTGACCTAAACCCTTCTAGCGTCTGAGCTACACGACCGCGAAGATGTGCAGACTCGTTCGGGGAGACTATTTCAAGGTTACCCAGGCATCCATGAAATCATAACAACGTCATTCAAATACCACCGTTGCATGGGCTATCCCTCGATCAATGCCAAGACAAAGATGCCAAGATAAGTGTCATTCGTTCATATCTGGCGTTCGTGAGCACGATTTCCAAATATAACGACCGTCAATTGGCTCTCAATCAATGTTATGCCAGGTGCGATGACGCAATGACGTATTGAACGACACATTAACTAAACGCAGAGATCGTGTTGTGTAGGGCAGCCTTTTCCACTTAAAAGTACATCAACAGTTTTAAGTGAGCTTATTTCATCATATCTAATGCTTGCTTCAATATCCTTAAGTGTGGAACATTTGCTTTAACGGAGGTTGGTGCGGCGTTCATGCACGTGCGCGAGGTTGTGATGCCATTCGCAGCGGACTTGTATTTTACGAACTCAGACTGCGTTTTTCTGCTGATAAGCGATATAAGCTCTATGAATGGTGGATGTGCGTCACGGAAACCAATGTGAAGTTCAGGAGGCGACACTTACAAGATATAATCGGTTCCCATACAAAAACATGGCCAAGGGAGTGCGTAAGGCCTGGATCGTTGCACTGTTTCTCTCAAACACTGGGGAATAAGAGGGTAGGAGAATAGAAAACACAAGAGATTAGAGAATAGTTGGTAGCATGATTAACACATAAATAAAGTGTCCATTGTTATGCTGCGAAGTGTGACTTGTTGATAGTCATGTTGAACTCTTACATCCCGCCATTCTTTGCCGCCCTATACCACGTGTGACGTCACCGTCCGCCACCGTTGCAGGCTGCAGTCTGCAGTATGACGCCATCTCGCTGGTGTACCTGGCGCTGCTGCTGGTGTGCCCTCTGGTACCGGCGCCCACGCGGCGCTCCTGGCACGGTGAGTCCAGCGCCCACGCGGCGCTCTTGGCACGGTGAGTCCAGGGTACGTCCGGCTAGCGGGGGGGGGGGGGGGGGAGAGGGGCTTTAGCGAGCGATCATGCCCGGGGCGATGATGTGTGTGGGGGCCCGACCCGGACACTGGTCAAATAGCCTGTCGGCCGCTGGCAGTGTGTGAGCGGCTTTAGTGGGGCTCAGCGCCGCGGTGCCGCCTGGCGTTCGTGGCGTCGGTTAGTCATCGGAAGGAACAAGTCGCCGGTGGCACGGCACATGACAGTGGCGCTAATTATACGGCCGCGTGGGCCGGGCCGTGCCCTGCCCCCATCACCATCCGGAGCACCGCGGGACATGGGAGAGGAAATGACGGCTTGTTTGAGGGATTCTCTTCGCCGCATGCACGGGCAAATTTAAGGATCCGTTGTTACGTGCACGCCTTTGATTAATTTATTAAAGTGTGAACAGATAAAATAACTGCGATTTAACTCGGTTCCGTTAATGTCGAATCAACTCAATTGGCATGCAAATTACGGCTGCTTTACCGCGAACGTGTGACTTGTGAGAATGTCTGGAAGGGCCGAGGCAAGCTGGGCACGCGACGCCGACAATAGCCTTAGCAGCTTCCTTCTTTGCACAACAACGGGGTAGAATACTCCTGACGCCGGACAGTTTATGTTGCGTCAGACACTAGCAGGTAAATCTGTCGGCACATGTCGGCACAGGTAAACCCTGTTCAGCAGACGGCGGTGGAGGCCTCTACCGCTTCTACCAACGGCGGTACAGGCCCGGCCAGGTCGATGTGGACATGAGTGCTGCCGCCAGGCAGCGGCATGGCGTGCACTTGCCGACCGTGTGACATCTGCAGGAACTGTTGAAGCTCCATGTCCTCCTTCTGAGCTACAGTGAGCACGTCAAAGTCCTGGAGGGAAGGCTTGATCAACTTCAGCAGCGAAATGGTCCGAGAGACAGCATCTGCCACGGGATTGTGCCGGTCCGGGACGTGGCGAACGTCCGAAGTGAATTGGTAGATAAAGCCCAGATGCCGAGAGAAGGCGCCTGAGCTGGATCCGATGGCTGACACCAGCGCCGTATGGTCGGTATAGACAGCGAGATGTCGGCCTTGCAAACGCGTGCCGGGAGTGTTTCACCGTCGGGTAGACCGCGAGCAGCTCGTGCCCGAAGCTGCTATACCCGGCTACAGCGTCCTGGAGACGAACGCTGGGGAGACCGCTCGCCATCGACGTACTGCTGTAGGACTGCACCAATTTCCGCGGCTGAGGAGTCCGCCTGCCAGCTCAGAGCAGCACCAGGCGACGGCTGAGCCAGCTTAGTGGTTCGAGACAAGGCGCCTTTGGTGCGCTGGAACGCGTCTTCTGCCACTGGCGTCCAGTCGAGCGGGACCGATCGCTTCAGCTTCTGGTCGTGCAGCTGGTGAAGCGGGCGCAGGAGAGCAGCAGCCTGCGGCAGGAAGCGATGGTAGTATGTTACGACTCCGATCAGCCGTCGAAGCTGAGTCCGTGTTGGTGGGGCGCGGATAGCCCGGCACCGTGGGCATCTTCTCCGACAGTAGTGCTATGCCTTCGGGCGTGACATCGTGAGCCAGGAAGTGGATCCGACTAACGCCGAAGACGCAGTTCTCAGGGCTAACGGTGACTCGAATCGGTTCAGACGCTGCAGCATCTGCCGGAAGTGGCCCAGATGCTCCCCCTGTGACGTGTGATGGCACGAGTATATCGTCCAGGTGGACACAACAGCTGAGTTGGATGAACCTCTCAGGACCTCATCCACAAAATGCTGTAACGTGTAGCAGGCGTTCCTGAGACCGAAGACATGCGTGTCATCTCGAAGAGATTGAAAAGTGTGGCGGTAGCCGTCTTTGGTACATTTGCGGGCTCGACCGAGATCTGGTTGTACGCTCGCACCAGATCGATCTTTGATAAGACAGGTGCAGCCGTGAGAGCTACCCGAAGAGTCCTCCAGGTACGACACCATGTATCTAGAACGGTGGTGGCGTTGAACGCACGGTAGTCGCCACACGGTCGCCACTCTCCGGCCTTCTTCCTCGGTGCCATGTGCATTGGCGACGCCCAACTGTTTCGCATGGACGGACGATGCCGAGCTCCAGCACGCGGTCAAACCCGCGGCGAGCGACCTGCACGCGGTCAGGAGCCAGAGGACGGGGCGTCCTACCTCTGGAGGTCCACTCGTCACAGTGTGGTGAGTCACAGTATAGCGGACCATTAGCAGCCGGGACGGTGACGTCACTCCCGAGGATTCTTTCAACAAGCTGGTGTAGCGTGGCTCTGTGATCGCACGGATTCCCAAGGAACAGAGGGTGGCAGGAGTGCCGCGGGCGCAGGTGGTGCCGCGCTCCGTCTCCAGGGTCTGCTGCTTCATGTCGACGACGAGTCAATGGTGCGGCAGGAAGCCAGTACGAAGAACCGGCGACGGGACGTCCCCAATGGGGAAGGTTCAGGAGAACGTAGCTCCTCTCTCCCAGCTTGACTAAGGTGGAGGTGAACCGTGTACCTTGATCTCCGATCAATTGGCAGCCTTCGGTCGCGATACGTAGTCACTCTGGACCCGGTCCTGCTGGCTCAGGACGCTGACTTGGGCTCCCGTATCCTTGGAGGCCCTATGGATGTGTACCCCAAGGCGCATGGAACCGTTTGGAGGGCCTCTGGATGTGCACCCGAAGACGTCTGTGACTGATGGATTGACACGTTTTAGGGCAGGTGGTCATGTATACCTGAAGTCGCGTGTGATCGTTTGCAGGGCCGCTAGGCTCGTACCTGAAGGCGTGCCTGATCATCACCCTGCTGGCGCTCCTGCCGATGCTCTGCTTCCAGATCGCCCTGTTCGCATTGCCGCCATACGGACACTTCTTGCGGAAATGTGAGCATCTCTTGACACCAGCGCTTTGCGTGATGTGATAACGCCCGTATGGGCGACGACGGACGGAGATTCAAAGTGTGTTCACGTCACTTGTCCACCAAAATTATATTTGGCATCGATGTTAGTCAGGCGAACTAAACACCGTGACTTTCCAAGCGCTTGTGCTGTATACTGCTCGCTGTGTGCCGTATTTTGTGTGCTGTATTATGCAGCATGCTGTGTACTTATACCGTGACAGTTAGGTCGCGTGAATTACTCTGCCCACACTGCAGGATTTGGCGGGGAGAGCTCTGTATGTTTTTGCCGTGCTGTATGAATAGGAGAGCCCTGCTGAACACCGCGACTGTGCATCCAGGCGACTTCCTGGAGACCCTGCTGCGGAACGTAGGCCTCATCAGCCTGGAGCAGATCTCCATCCTCTCCGCGGTCTTTTACTTTGCGTCAAAGCTGTTACCTGCTGTCATCACTGCAGTTGTCTTCCGGTGAGTTTCAGCGATGCGGTTAAGTGCATGAGCTATTTACGAGGAGGAACGGGCTGAGTGAGCCGTACTCGGATGATGAGAAGAATCTTAACTTATCGTCCTACCCCTGCCGTCACGGATTCTAAAGATACACAACTTCGCAATGACCCATCGCAGGTCATGAGGTTTTCAGCAACGATAATCGTTTTTTTAAGTTGTGTTTTATAACTAATAAGAGATTTGCGTGGAATATCCTTTATCGGGCGCATTTTGGTTGCAACATTACAGCCTAAAAACGATCTCGCCCCCTCCTGCCGATGACCAGGGGAAGGGCAAAATTTTGAAACTGCAAACCAAGTCGAAGAAGTTTGTCGAAACCGGGAAAATATCGCCATGCTTTGGGTTCGCAACGACTGGAGCTAGCATTCATTCTAACATATTGACCTAGGGAAAAATGGGTGAACGCATTGACAAACATGTGGGTCGACGTTCGGAGGGCGTTCGGAGCCCCGCGCGTCCCCGAAAACCACGGATCCCCGTTTTTGAGGCGTCTTATTAGTATTTGCGTCTCGCCTTTCAACCAGACTAAGGCGTGACCCTAACTGCTAGTGTTGGTGATTGTGCCGGCTACAGTCCACTGACGGATCTCGAGACCATCCGGTCCATGGGTGCGTCAGTGGAGAGTCGACTGGAAGTGAAATCATTGTTCCCTTTTCCGAAACCTATCTCGAGGACAAGGCACTGGGGCCTAAACGGGGAAAGATTGAACCATGTAGATTGAACAACATTGTAGTTCTGTTATGGTGACCTATGCGCATCCAAGATAGTCGTGTTTTGCAATCCTTTAGTCAAAGTTGCTAAGACCGTAAATTCTTGCAACGTGTCATGTTCCAGGGCCCTGACATGTTTAAAGCCGGCTATTTGTCAAACATTGCTATTTGTTGAGCAGCTTGCGACCCCAACGCCATTTTACCTTCTCGTTTTGAATGATCATGCACGGCAGATTTCTCAGCGCATTGGTGAAGCCCAATAGTACCGGTTACCGAATGTTTCTGTTTTCATTAGTTCGTTATTATCGGCATCACCCATGTCATCACAATGGACAGCTCTGACGTCCGTTAGCGCGCCGCTCTTCACACGCCGCACGTGGCGTCCCGTGGGTACTACCACGGAATGGCTCAACGAACCAGCTGTCGGCGAACCAGTACCAATCTGTCGTCGGTGGTACTGGAGGTGGGGGGGGGGCCTTGCTGTGCCACACACAGGCGGCTGATGCGTATCGGGGTCGCTGGTTTGTGATGCAGCGGCACGGTGGTATTGACCGTGAACAGAAATGATCCCAAAACCCTATAAGTAATGCTGTCTAGACAGACGTTGAATACGATACGGGGACGGAATATAGAAGCTGGTGACGAACGTTGGGATTTAATCTACCTTCAGGCTCACGTGCCAGGTGCCAGGTGTGAGGTGGGGGAGAGGCGTATTAGGGGGGGGGGAGGGGCAGCATTACCAGACGATGGTGGCCCGACTTCCAGCGGCAGCAGTGCACGTCAGTGCTGCTTTCAGACTAGCTCGGCCATACCAACATCCTGTTCCCTCATCTGACCCTTCACATCAGAGATGTGCGTTGCATGACAATCTTATACCAACAACTTTTATCTTATCCTCGTGCTTCATCCCCTAGGTCAGTACTGATGCTGAATGCATTGACCTTGTCATAGACTGTCTTGAGAACGTGATATTTTTTCACACCCCGTGCTAAGTATCGCCCTGCAGACTCGGCGAGGTGCACAACCCCCACCGCCGGCGCTTCCTTTACAACTGAAGCACACAGATTTCAGTCTGATGTAAAACCAGCCAAGACAAGCAGGGTCGTCGCGCGGCTCGTCGGCGATGGGTCTTGCCGCCTAGTGTCCTGTTGTTCACAAAACCCGCCATCAGCGATTGTCTCCGCTACTCTAGGTGTTTCTCCTTCTACTCGCTTGATGCGTTCGCCATCCACCCTAACTAACGTTCTCAGGTCTGAGGTGTTACAGGACGTCTGTCTTGTGGCCAGTGATTTTGATCTGTGACCCACGGTATCAGTGCTCTGTATCCTGTAGCCCTGTGTTGGGGGTTTGACCAACGTCTGTGACTTGTGACCCGTGACCTGTGGCCCGTGATCCGTGGCCCGTGACCCGTGACCCGTGACCCGTGACCCGTGAACCCCGTGACTCTGAGTGGGGGTATGTGAGCAATGCCCGTAACCTGTGACCCTTGCTCCTGTGACCTGTGACCTGTGGCCCGTGATCCTGTGACCTGCGGTCTGTGACCTGTGACCCTTTGTTGGGGTCTGCAGAGAGTGCCGAGAGCTGTCGCGACAAGCCGACGGCCCGGAGGCGGACATCCAGAACGGTGGCGGCTCGCCTCTCTTCCGCAACTCGCGCGAGAAGCTGCAAAAGGACGGGCTCAAGTACTGCCTCGGTACGTGAGTCGCACACGGGTGTCGGGGTTGCGGGAAAGGATAACACAAGCTCTGCGGAAGGCGCGACCGAAGCGCCCCCATTCGTGGAGTCTGGTGTGAAGTGAACGTCCCTCGCCTTTTGCATTGCTGTCGGCGTTTGATGAGACGTTCTGGGCCGTTCCTAAACCTTACACGGGACCGAGATCAGACAATTAATGCAGTCAAGTGTTTTGGCTCTTCCATGATGACTCTACTAAAACAATATCGACATTTGTCACCTTGCTGTGCCCGTTCCCAGTGACGGTACTCACCTACTGTGGCTCGTTCCCAGTGACAGTATTGACCTGTTGTGACCCGTCCCCAGTGACGGTACTGACTCTGCTGTGATCCGTCTTCAGTGACGGTACTGATCTGCTGTGACCGTTTCTCAACGACGGTATTGACCTGCTGTGACCCGTCCCCAGTGACGCTACTGATCTGCTGTGACCGTTTCCCAGCGACGCTACTGACCTGCTGTGACCCGTCCCCAGCGACAGTACTGGCCTGCTGTGACCCGTCCCCAGCGACGGTACTGACCTGCTGCAATCCGTCCTCAGTGACGATGCTGACCTGCTGTGATCCGTCCTCAGTGACGGTACTGACCTACTGTGACCCGTCCCCAGTGACGGTACTGACCTGTTGTGATCCGTCCCCAGTGACGGTACTGACTCTGCTGTGATCCGTCCTCAGTGACGGTACTGACCTGCTGTGATCCGTCCTCAGTGACGGTACTGACCTGCTGTGACCCGTCCTCAGTGACGGTACTGACCTGCTGTGACCCGTCCTCAGTGACGGTACTGACCTGCTGTGATCCGTCCTCAGTGACGGTACTGACCCTGCTGGCACTGGCCGGGGCGGCCATCATGCGACCGAGCGTGACCTCAGCGGTGTACCTGCTGACCCTGCTCGGGGCCATGACCTGGTGGGCGTGTTTGCGGACGCTGGGGCGGCCCTTCGGCATCATCTGCCGCCTCCTGATGGTCTTCTCGGGCCTCCACCTGGCCGTGGTCTACACCTACCAGATGCAGTGGGCGCAGGTGTACCTCGACCACACCAGCTTAGGTGCCAGGTGAGCCCTGGGGACGGCGCGGGCGCGAGACACGCATGTCGCTGGTCCGGCGATGCGAGAGATCCGTTGAGTTAGTTATCTTGTTTTTAAGTGACAGTGTTGTATAGTAAACTGGTTACCGGCGGCGTGCACGGTTCTCGTGGGAGGCGATTTAGGCTAGCAGAGGAGATCGCGTAGATGAATTGGATATCTCCTGTTGTGTCGTGGCATTGAGTTGTTACAGACGATCTTGCTGTTGTAGACTGACACATGTCCAACCATCAGTCACAAGGCTAGCGCCTGTACTCACCGTTATGACCGAGAGGGTTGGGCTGGGCTGGCCTTGACCTGCACTGACCGGCCGTGACACGCCCGGCGGCCAGGCTCGGCGGTCTAGTCCAGATTCGGGTTACAAACTGCACCGGAGACCCGCGCGACATGACCTTCGCCGAGACCACGTGGGACGTCTACTTCTATCCGCTGGTCATCTACGCGCTCTACTACATGCTGGCTTTCGAGTCCAGGATCCTCATCAACCTACGGGTGAGTACCGGAGACAGCTGGCGTCGTGTGCTGCCCGGCATGAACAGTCACTTGCAGGCACACGGTGTCCGTGCCACTGTTCGTCACCGTGTGTGATATAGATGAACACAGATGTTTGCGTCACTAGCTGGAGTGATGCCTTCAACACCTGCTGCGGGCGTCGGGTGCTTTGTCTCGCTGCGCCATGCTGGGGAGAGAAAGCTGTATATGCTGGATCCAAGCGCGGGTTTAGTGGTGATCGACATACTGAACGTGTTGTCTGTAGCGTCAGCCGATTTTTGCTCTGGCTTGGGACTGTCTGCTCTAAGAGCCCCGGACGCAACATAAGGGCTTTGCCTCGGACGTTAACAGTGTAACAGTAGCCACGTTTTGCGGTCTAACAACTCACCCGTCTTTTAAAGGGAGTGTTCCACATTTGTACGAGGGTTTGCACTGAGATAGCCATTTTGAAGGTCATTCAGTACAGCTCGCAGGCATACCTTTTTGTGACTTAAAACATTTTTGTTTCTGAACTTAACGCCCATGAACTTGTGCGAACTACTGCGTGCATACTTTTTCAAGGGCACCCAGACATGCATGACACCGAAGAAACGTTACTCGAATACTGCCACCTTGTTGACCGTGCAGTGTTCAAGGCCAATGTAATATTTAGAGTACGCAGGCACAATTTCTAGCACGATTGACGACATGTCTTCCGGCCTTAGAGGACAGCAGTTAGCTCTCGACCGACGTAATGCGTTGAGTACAGGTTTGGAACAGGGATCACATTTTGTGCTACACAGAACAGGAATTTGGGCATTGATACGAGTTATGACGGAATTAAGATTGCGGATCGGTTAACTTACGAATAGGGCATAAATCAGGCACGTGAATGCAATAAGCAATATGAAATCACGGACAAATACGCAAGAACATCACGAGAAAGGACCAAAACACGAGCGCATAGTGATATTTGGTTCAGCAAACACCTCCAGCACCGTCACCGCTACCTCTCGACAAGTCGAAGTACTAAAAGTTAGTCAATCTGTCCGCAACAATGGCACTTCCGACACGGCTAGTCTGGTAGCGACTCTGACGTCTTAAAGATTACTGAATAAAAGATTGTGTTGTCTAGAGCAGTCTTGTACACGTAAAAGCAAACCAATTGTTGGAAGTGAGCTTATTTCATCATACGTGGTGCTTTCTTCAAAATATTCAAATGTGGAACATTCCCTTTAAACGTCTTGTATAGTAGGCATTACGTCTGTTCCGTTTATTTACCATCATCTTGGTGGGTCAGTATATTTTCGAAGCTGTTAATACTGCTGCATCGCGGTGGCGTTTTCTGACGGCGCAGTGCGCGCGCCATTTGTCGTAGGTCGAGGAGCTGTCAGTAACCGTGAAGGACCTCCTGGAGGTAAAGCCTGGCCGCCGCCTCTCTGTCTCTCTCGCTGTCCGGTGATCCGTCCCAACTATCCGGTGGCGGTGTCCGGTGGCGTTGGCCGCGCTTCGCCGCCCTGTGGAGCGGGGCATGCCTGTGGGTGGCGCTGCCGCCTTCACAGAGGGCCCTCGCCACTGACGCTTCCTGGCAGTCATCTTCTCCGGCAGTGTTGTGAATCTGTTGCCGGCTCTATCGTTTCCACTCGTCTGCGAATGGAGGACCGCCGGCGCGGTTGGCTGAGATTTGTGACTAACCCCAACAGCGTGGTGGTGCGCATGCTCTCAGGAGGTGGATATTCTGCCATTGGCTCGTGTGGTTTCCGCACACAAATCTGTTGTCTGGAATCCGAACATAACTTGGAGCTGCTATTGCTCTAATCTATCATGTTTACTCCTGAATGGGCTTTCATTTGGGAATCAAAATTGTATGAGCTGCTCGAGTGTGAACACTTATACTATTTGCCTACGTAAAATTGAGCGTAATACTGCGATCCGGGCATTGGTCGTTTCCTGGTTGATTTTGGTCACTTCCTTGGTTTATTTCTTAAAGGCTGTATACTTCCATAGTGATTTTGATATTATGGCGCTTGCGTTTTACGCGAGACAAAAAGGGCCAACGACTTGGAATGAAGCGTAACTGTGAATCTCAATGGAAAGCTGTAACCTTTGCACCCGTTCTTCATGCATGAGATCACCTTCTGCTGACGAATTTGTGAATGTTGGGCAAGTGGATGGAGCTACAACATGCGAGCTTTGGTTAATGCGCTCGCACCGTCATTTTGGAATGCAGTCTATTGCGTGTATAATGCTGTCTTTCTTCCTTACATTATTAGCTCGAACCAAGAATGGATTTTCTGACGCAACTGTTGATGTCTCGGCGTAATGGGCATGTCTTCGGCGGCACCCCAGCCGTGGGCTTGTTATTGATAAGTCCTCCGTAACTGCGGGTCTGCATGACAACGTGAACAGATTATCAAGCGAGCGATATTTTTTGGAGGGTTGGAAGGATTTTTTCCAATTAAGTGGACATGCAAGCCCTCGGTGACCTGTTGAAAGAGATTAGGTCCACCGCAAAATCGTCATTGAATTTGTTGTGCCGGAATTAGGATATACTATCCTGATGTATTTTGTGTTTTCCTTTTCTCAGCAGGCCAGCTTGTTCTCTGAAAAGTGTGTGGAGTTTGTCGTTCTATTTTCCGCTCGTCGTTGCATCAAACAAAACAAGCCAGAAACGGTGGGCCTAATCTCTAAGTGTACCAAATGCGTCAAATGCGGAAATGAAACCAGCAGCATTTGAAGCGTGCTATCGCTGTGACTAAGCACACCTGAGCCCTTTTTTCGTGTCGGATCAGGTTTAACTCCTCACACAGTTCACCGAAGGACCCCTACCTACTCCAATCCATGACCTCCAGGAATCCAGGATTGATGAGAGCCCGTCGTCTGCCCCAGGACTGATGGCAGGATTGATGATAGGCTGCCGTCTGGTATCCAAGATTGATGATAGCCTGTCCTCTGGTATCCGGGATTGATGACAGTCTGTCCTCTGGTATCAACTCCTGACTTTGCGAGGAAGCATCGCACCCGCTGAACAACCACCTCAAGCGTCGCATGCCCCCTGAATTATTGAAAATTAGCCCTTATAGCATACGCAAACATGACGTGCTACCCTCCGCGTCGTCGCTACTAATGCTCGTAGAAAAGCCAACTCCAGCACCCAGAGCAGGTGCGTCAGCCGTGTGCGCGCGCTGATCCGCGGGCCCCGTGTTGGTCGCGTGTTGGCCCCGTGCGGGCTACTTGCGGCTCCGCTGACGGTCGGCCGCCGGCGCGCGGCGCCGCTGGTCGGCAGGACCCGCGTCTGCTGGAGGCGGTGTTGGATGTTCCCTTCAAGAGGGTCAGCCGCTCACTGCGCAAAACGTTCCGACGCAGGGCCGGTCGCCAGACGGTCACAGTAAGCGGGTGTTTGCCCCCCCCCCCCCTCCAGCTGCTCCCATCCCAGCTGCCCCAGCTGCCCCCCCCCCCCTCCGCTCAGGTGATGTCACCAGAGCTAAGCTCGATTGTGCTTGATACTCCTGTGCGCTGGAATGTTTGTAGCTCGGGGTATGCTGGTAGTTCAAAGCTGCGATTGTTTTTACGGCGTTCTATTCCGTTGATGGTATGACTTTGTTGAATGGCCTTTCAACTCTTTTGTATTTAATCTTGCAGGCGATTCCCCTAATTATTGGTTTCGTGGTCTGTCATCAGGTATGTGTCGTGCGCGCACATCTCAACGCTTAAATGAGCTGCTCTTCCCGTTAAATGATGCAGTAGCGATGTGCATAAATCGTTTAGTATAATTAAACAGACAGTTTTTTTTCGTTTTCCAATCTCGTAGCTTGGCAGTGTAATACAAACAGAGGCGCGGGGAGCACTACAAGCAGATGCGCTTTGTAGGCCTAAGTTCGGCGGTTTGCACGTCATCGCCGTCATTCACATTGTACACCAGGCATGTCCATGCCACGGTGGTGATGAACAGGTGTTTCGACAGTTGTATTTCCCCTGTCATGCTTGACATATGCATCAGTGGACTGTGCCGTAGCATGATGGCCGGTGACAAAAAGGACATACGTCGCGGAACACTGCCACGGAAACAACGTTTTCGCTATTGCGAATTGGATGTTGGCCCATTTGGACCATTCAGCTGGGTGCACTGGGTCTCAATGCTCTTGACGTTCCGCCCGCTGTCTGCGGCTGTCGCACGGACCAGCTCTCACTGCACGCATTAAGTCTTCAAAGGGCATTAGACTGGTCCGCGCGGGCTGTCTGACAGTAGAAGACGACTTTAACCATGACTTTGCTATGATTGCATTTATTCTGAGTATCATTCTGACGTAAACGTGACCTTTTGACCGTGAAAGTCTGGAAGTCCTCTATTCCCCCCCCCCCCCCCCCCGGAGTAGCCAGGGTAATAACTTTCACTGGGCGCGGTATGAAACTCTGCCGTCCGTCGCCCCTCCCCATCCCTACCGGGAGCTCTCGAGGCCTATTATCGCCCTGATCGGCCTTACCGGGTCCCCGAAGCTGGCACTTTCTGTGGAATAGCCACGTGGTTTTCTGAGCCAACCTGTTTTCTGAGTCATCTGTGGTAGATCCATGACCTGATCAGTTTGGTTTGCCTGCCCTCTTTCCTGAACCGCCCGCAATGACGGCAATCCGCGCGCGTAGTCTGACGCCAACGCGCTGTACACGGCGTGGGCGAGCTGACCGCGAAGCGCTATACGGTTAGCTCCCGATCTGTTTCGATACCTCGCTGACCCGACTCGTTATCCGCTGACCGGGCGCGCCTGACCTGACCTGACCCCTGGCCGACCTGTCGTCGATCTGACTTGACTTTCGCTGGCAGTGCGGCTCGCGATCCGGTCCTCCCGTTCGTTCCATCCGGGCCTTTGGCCAGGTGCCGTGCTCAGATTCCAAAGAAACGTTCCAAGTGAGTGGGCGGGCACATTGCGCCTGTGCACGCAAACACGTCTCGTTGTCCCGGTTATCGGTGGCTGGAAGGGCGCTTTGTTGTCGGGGATCGGCTGAGTACTCCTGGAACGTTCTGGAAAGGAAAGCTCCAGCCGGGTACCGAAGTTTCGTGATGGGCTGCCACAGAGTGCACGGCATGGCCGCCCCGCGTGCTCTAGCATCGGTAGCCCCGCGGTGTAGCCTTCGCCAGCACGTGGCGGCCCTGACTGTGTAGAGGGTGTGCCTGCGTAGAGAGAAGGCTGGGTGAAGCGATGGCTCCGTAGGACATCAGTTAGTCGAAGCAATGAAATCGTCCTCGTATTATTATCTGATGGTGCGGAACTCTACGCAACGTCGGTCGGAAAAGAGCGGACGTCGATATGGCGTCGCGTACCATTCCACCCGCAAATGCGACACGTGATCGCTTCCTGGTGACGTCACGGCGCCAGCCGCCTTAACTGCATGCGCCTTCTGCGTAGATCGCGGGCGAAGGGACCGTGCCGCGAGCTGTGCCGTCATCTCACGACAAAACGCCCGTATGTACTGCACGCGCTCTGCCAACGCTGCACGCATGTCCCGCCCTCGACGTGCCCGGCCCGCCTGTGCACGTGTCGGCTTCGTGCACGCGCCGGTGATGGGGGCGCGCACGCGGCGACCGGGCGTCGCTGGCTGTGTTCCGTCGGCGGCGGTGGCGTTGCGAGCTTGCCTGCGGGGGTGGAGGGAAGGGCGACAGCCGGCTGGTCCGTGCTCCCGCCTCGCTTCGTCGTATGCCCGGAGATCTCCGTCTGGTAGGTGCTGGCTTGCTCTGTGGCGTACCCTGCTGTGTTGTCACCGCTAGCTGTCCGTTTACATCTTGTTCGGCTCGTCGTGCGACGCACGCCGTCGTATCTTTAAAGTCTGGGGACACGAGATAGCTTGCCTCCACTCGGTAGCTAGAGCCTAACATCCGGTCGATCAATCAAACGCACGTACGTCGTTTGTATGTCGTTTGGGGGATGAGTGGTCGATTGCACAGAATTCCCCGGTGATAGTTTATTGGTGGTGGTTCGGGGTATTCAACCACCTTTATTTAATCAAGTTTTGCAGCATGGCGGGCATATTGCCTGACTGTGCCCGTCGGCCGTTTCGCTCCCTGACGTAAAGGTGGCAGCACTGTGCGCGTGTCGTGTCTGTGCTGACGTCGTGCTCGTGTTGTGCCGCCAGCTGGTGGAGGCCGACAGCCTGGGCTCGCGATACCACGCCATCGGTGACGCAGCATCGCCAGGTACGTGGGCCGACGGGTCCAGCTGAGTGACGGGCTACACCCACCCGAGTGCCGACCGGGTGTGGGGGGCGGGGGGAGGGGTTTGCATGAAACGGCATTTGAGTGAGATTCATTAAACTTATCGAAATATTTTGGCTGGTGTGGCTCAAGGGTCGCACAGAGCATTGTTCGTTAATTACATTCATATTGTCGTTATTTCTCTGGTGTGCTGGGATTCGTGCCGTTGGACAACTCCGCAGCACTGCTGGCGAATGGGTGGCGAGAGTGTTCTGCAGTCGACTGATCGGCCCTGTATCCGTCGGTGTCCTGTACCCGACACTGTCTTCGCTCCGTCTGACGCTGCGCGCCGCGTGACCCTGCTCTGTGCGCCCCGCGTCCGTTCTTCCGCACTCCATCCGCGCGCGGGGCCCTCGATGATCGCGCTGCGTCCTCAGGGAACGACATCGATGAGTCGGTGGAGGCGCGCAGCCGGCACCAGCGCTGGCAGCGGCTCTCCACCACCGTCTACACGGTCTGGCGCGCCCTGACGAGGGCGTCCTTCCTGGCCACCTACGTGGTTATGATGGTGGGTTTCTGCCACCCCACGCGCTCCTGTGGCGCCACCTGCGTGCCCAAAAATGCAGGCTGGGAATTGGTCGTCATTAGTGCATTTAATGTACGTGATCGTACTCCATGATTTAGGCTTCGCTCAATGTGGTTGGCCATTCAACAGGAACTGACCGAACAACTCCAACTGACCAACGAGGTTCTGAGCCGTTGCGAAGTGTTTGTGCGAAGTGAAGTGAAGCCGTTTCTGAGCCTTGTTCTAGCTTCCTTTAAATCACACACTGAGACGAGACTTAGCTTCAGTGTCTTTTCATTATCGTGCTGAGAAGGCTGTTTTATTAGCTACAGCTGCTGAAGACATTTGCTCTTGTTTACGATGCTTGCACGTCATGGTCAGTTGATGCCCCAGCAACCTGTTCCAGTTCAGTAGTACCGGAGCGCCAATAAGTGATCCTGCTCGCTCTTCTTGTTCACAGTACTGGTCAATCAAATACCACAGCTACCCGACGTTCGTCTTCCTCGTTTGGGCGCTGGTGGTGGCCGTTATCAAGAACCAGCGCATGGTGATGCACCGCTCGTCGCCGTTCCTCGTCATGTACGCCCAGCTGCTGGTAATGCTGCAGTTCGTCTACTGCCTCGACCTCACGGACAGTGAGCTGCCGGTCCAAGTGAACAACTTCGACCTGCGGGACGTGGTGTTCAAGCCCGCCGAGTACCCGTGCGAGACGCTGGCGCTGCAGGTGCGACGGGGCGCGCTGCGGACGGCGGGGGTTAGCCGGGGTCACGCGGGAGCGGCGGGGAGGGGGAGGGGGCGACACACGGCGCCCATCGGACACAGCTCGAGGCGTGCGGCTGGGTCGGGTAACCGCCGTCTTGCGAGTTTGCAGATGTATGTGGAGTGATCTCTGGCAGGCAAGGATGTGGCAGCGGTGTGCGCCGCTGAGGTTGCGTATGGGAGAACACTGTTTCTTCAGTAAGGCGACTGCGGTGGGCCTCAATCTGATGTCTCGAGCTATCATCGGCTGGATTTTGATTTGTTTTTCACACATGTAAGCCGCCGTACCAACTTAGCTTGCACTGGGTCGGCACAGCGTATGCAGACGCGCGTTGGCCGCCACGCCGCGGCTGAGTGACTACCCATCAGCGCCCTGACACCAGCCGCCCGTCCCCTCCACAGCTGGTGTTCACCACCGTGTTCTGGCTGACGCTGCGCCAGTACCTGCAGGAGGAGCGGGAGCGCAACATGGACATCCAGCTGACGCCCCGACGTGAGCAGACTTTATGACACGCCAGAGATGACCGCTCTGGACGCGCGTATCTCCTGGTGCCTCCTGACTGGGATCACCCCCTCCGCCGTGACCCGTCCTGTTGTTGACGCCCGTTCCCTAGTGTCAATTGGCTGCACCAGCCAGGTGGCAGGGTCCAATTTAGTCCTGCGGTATAACTGATCCCTGATCCGCGAGTCATGATCCACGTGAAAGTTGGAACGAGGCTCGCTTCCTCAACAAGATCAGCTCTTTGGACCGCAACGACTGGTGCAACGTGTTAGGCTGTTAGGTTACCGGTGGAACGACTTGACAGAAAGGAACAGCTCGGGTTGTTCTACCGTCTACCGTTCTACCGCTCGGGCCTACCGTCTACCGTTCTACCGTCTCCGCCGCACGATTCGCCCCGAACTGCACGTTTTGCAGGACGTCTATCGCTCGATGACGGCTTGCTGAAACGGTGGGGAGCCGTGCTCTTCAAGGGGATCGTGCGCGGCTGGATCGTGCTGGTGGCCATCATGCTGTTCGTCTACGGCATCGGCGAGGCGCGCGTGGTCATCATCCAGATCTTCTACATGGCCTTCTTCCTCGGCTTCATATCGCTGTTCCAGGTGACGCACCTGTTCCCCCTCCCCCTCCCGCAGCAGCTCCCCCTTCCCCTCCCCGGTGAGGCACCTCCCCCTACGGCATTGGTTAACACGCTGACACCATGCCAATAGTCTATAGATAACATGATTGTAGTGTTCCGCTGTTGATCTAGTCTCCTTGGTGGTAGACGGGTGGGCTGGTGGTAGGGTGTGGTATCGACTATTTTGTTGTTTATCTTGACAGTTTTACTATAAATTTGTCAGAGGGTTCACATTGCAGTGATGTTTGTCGGCAAAGTATGTCCATAACTCCTCTCGTTAAGCCGTTCTTGCGGATTTTTTGCTTTGTTTAGTGGGGATCTATGATGAATACGTAAGTCGGAGGTGCCTTTGCATCGCCACGCTGCCATCAGTCGTTATTTATAGTTCTTAGAATATCAGGAGCTAGTCTTAAAGTCAACAATAACAATCATAGGTAAGGATAATATGGCGGTTAGGCTGAGCGTCTGAAAAATCAGAGGTGCGGGGTTCGATTCCCTGCGGTGCCCACCCTTCCTGCCAGGGTTAAAAGCAGGCGACGCGATGTATATATATATATATATATATATATATATATATATATATATATATATATATATATATGATGTGATTTTGGATGCGATGTGATTTTGCACGACAAATTGACCCCGCAGAGAGCCTCTACATTTTCTTTCTCGCATTCCTTTACACTGGAGTCCATTTGACTCGATGGTTCGCTCCTTTCAGATATCGTTCCGCGTGTGGCGGCGGCTGCTGTATGGCTTCACCATGACCCTGATCATGTACCAGATGTTGGTGCTGGTCACGATTTACCTATACCAGTTCAAGCACGTGAACGAGTGGATCACAGACCTCGGTATATCAAAGCAGTGGCAGCGAGACCTGGGCCTGGAGGTTTACCAGACAGGCAGGTGAGGTCGCTGGTTCTGGTGCGGCGTCGCTCACAACCTGCCAGAAATGTTCAGCGTGGGCTGCTGTGTGCCGTTTACCAAGTCATCAAACCGCGCAGAGATAGAGTTGATCCAGCAAGCGTGGGATTTCATCACTGGCGTTGAGATTTCTCGACGGTACTTTTGAACGGTATTGCTGCCTATCCAATGCTATGTGATACCAAGATGCTGATCTGCTAGTGCAAGACGCGTGTAAAAAAAATCACCAGCAGTCAAACTGCGACAACGCAATTAATGTGCTGTTTGCAGGCTCTTCATCAAGCTTCTGTTCCCGACGCTCTTCATGATCGTCTGCGTTGTATACATCCAGCATATTCATAAAGATTTCATGGCTCTCACAAACGAGGAACATTACCACAGGTCAGTACATTGAATCGCTGTTGTATGATACCGACTAAGCTGGTGGAGACTACTAATTTAACGAATAATTTCTTCTTTATGATTAACTGCTGCGTCTACGCATAGGTGGGTGTAAACAAATGGTTTATGTTACAAAGATATGCTCGGACATTTAATCTTTTTTGACTCGTATTGCCGCAATGTTCCTGGCAGTACGTAAAAAATGGATAGTTAGGCGCCATCCTTTATTGTGTAAGTACCCCCGTGATATTTCTAGTCCAGCTCTTCCGCGGCCTCGGAAGCGTACCTGTTTGAGGCTGGTGCCACTGCAGGCAGGAGGTCCATGGCTTAAGCTTGACTTCGTAGCCTTTTCCTCGACCGGCTCCTGCTCAGGAGATGCAGCACCAGCTGGGGGGCGGAGCCTGGCGCGGAGCCGGGCCGTGCGCCCGCTACGGGGGTTCACGAGCGTGGTCTGCCTTTAAACAGCCCGTTACGTCCGGTGGCATTGCCCGTGGCCACGATCTCGCTTCCTGTCAGCGGAGCAGTGCTCTGATTTACGGGACCGAGTAGTCGGAATGTCCGGCGTGCACAAGTACCAACTGGAATGTCTCAGCAAGCCGCTTGAGAAGACTGCTCCGCAAAGGTGCACAAAATCCAAAATAGAATGGTGTCCGTCCTGGTGGCTCAGATTGGTTAGAGCGACAGCCTTCCGATTCGCCCACCCGTGGCGGGGTGGGTTCGCGTCGCTTTAGTGCTTAATATTTGGCCTTGACAGGCATGGTCTGCGGCCGGTGACAACGGTCGTGCTAAGGCTCAGATGGCGTCAGAGGGCAGGACAGACCGTGCCGAGCATTGTGGCACGTGAAACTTTCGCCACTAAATTCTACCGTTGCCTGGAATTGCGCGATCAGATAGTAAGGGTCAGGCTCGCACAACAAGCGCTGCTTAGCGTGAGCTTTGATCCCAGAAATCCATCCGTTCAAAAGGCTCGGATCAAACATTGAAGAAAATATGAAACTTTAACGCGCACATGGTGTGAGTGTTCAAGTGACGGTGTGGCTGCGTGCATCTAACAAGAAAAGTCCCCTGTCATGGGGACCAAAAATCTGAATTCTCAAATGCCACTTCGTGTTTCTAGCATGACTCCTGTCAACGAACGTCGCAGGTCATTGTCGGCCATCTGCATCTACTCGTGATGCATCTCACGAGCGTATGCCCCTGTCACCACCATGACGTCCCCGTCAGGCCTCCGCAGCCGACCGGCGGCGTCAGCACTCCTCCGCCGGCCTCGCCGCCACCAGCCGTGCCCAGCTTCAGCCCCGCCGCCGACACGGCGGCGAACACCACAGCGGACACGGCGGGCACAGCGGACACGGCGGGCACAGCGGACACTGCGGACACGGCGGACACGGCGCCAGTGGCTGAGCAGGAGGAGGAGATGGCTGTTCTGCCCGAGGGCCTGCTGGAGGTGCCGACCGAACCTCACGGGCCGCCGCTGGACGAGACCTCCAGCCTGCGCGAGATGAGGGGTACGTGGACGGCGGCGCTACTCGTGGCCCCGCGAGGCCGCTCAGGGGTGTGAGAGTTTCTGTGTACTTCGGTTCGGTCGAGCCAGGTGCCAATGTTGATGAAGGCCTGGTGATTGTGCCGCCGTATTCTGACTGACCTTTCCCCTATTCGTTACGAGGCTATACTTAGTCCGATCGCCAGGGCACGCTCATTGTTAAGCCCGGTATGGAAAGGTCAACTGACAACTTGCGAAGGGATTTCGACCTGGAACGTGGCTGCCATATTTTAGCACCGCAGTATCAAAAAGATGCCTTCGTATCTTGTCATGTTGGAAAGCCGGAGAGATCGTTTTGCAGGCGCCAGATTTGCGTGCGTTCGGTGATGAGATCAAAACACAGCAGCATGGTGACCTGGCTCAAGCATGAGAAGGGAATCAGAGCATGAGGCTACAGGCCATGTGACGCGTTGCAGTGGAACGTTACCAGGCTCACGTGGGGGGGGGGGGGGGGGGGGGGACGGCAACCTTCGAGTCGGGCGTTAGGCACGGAAAGTGATTTAATGTTATAGATGCAAACGGATTCGGTAATAAGGAATGTGTTTGTTTAAGCTGTGTGGCGTCCACTCCTTCATCCGCGGACTATGTGTCGTCGTTGCCTGCAGGCTGGCTGTTCCATTACTGCGCCCGCATCTGGAACCTGTTCGTGGCGGTGCTGGACAAGGTGTTGTGGATCTTTTGCCGCCTGATGGAGATCCACGGCATGAAGGTCAACTTGTTTGCCCTCATGATGATCACCGTATTCGATGTAAGTTTGCGATGGAGACTGCTACGCACAACCATATGGCTAGCTCGCTCGGACACACCATACCTGTGGAAGGCTCGCATTGCGCCGGTCATCATCGCCGACATTTGTTCCCGGGGTCACATGTGTGTCACGAGTAGCGTGACTATTGACCTCTCATGGTAGTGCCATAGGCACCGTATAGGTATGCACACTGCTGTGCGCGTGGTATGTGTGCCATACAGCAGACACCGGGTGTGTGGCACCGTGCGCCACACCGTATGGCACCGCACACGTATGGCACGCGTGTGGTGCCATACGTGTGCGGTGCATGTGATCCTGTGCGGTGCGCCTTTGCTGCTGCTGCTTCCGCCGCGTGGTCTGCGCTGGCCCGCACGCATCATGGCGTGCGCATGTTGTCTGCGCCCTGCAGGTGTGCGCGGTGCACCTGTGCCTGCTCCTGCTGGTCTGCGTGGCGTTTCTGCTGCGCTCCTGGGGACGCCAGATCAGCTGCGACGTCGCCATCTGCTGGATCAGCCTGCTGCTGCTGTTGCGCATGATCTACCAGATGGACGTGATCCCCGGGGACCTGTGGTCCCTCAACTGCACGGTAAGTGGGGCCAGGAGGCGCCGCGCGTCGCACGCGCGTACACTTGCGTTGGGTCGTTGAAGAAGAAGAAGGAAAGCTCTTCTGACATGATTTGTGTCTAAGAGAATTTCTATGGTTCCGGCTCCCTGCGGGTGAGGTTCACGGAAACGGCCTGGATGTTTTGGCTTGGCTAATATTTTCGCAGTTTTAGTGCTACTTTGGCAACCACTGTCTGCAATCTCAATGTTTAATTTGCATTTTCTTATTCGTCGTCAAATCATTTGTGACGAGTTTAGGCTGCTGCTGTGGTGCAGCGCCAGGACGATGCTTTCAACGCCGACAACAGCAAACTCCTCGTACTAGAGCCCTTGTTCCCGCGCCCCCTCGCCTGTCCCGACTGACGCGGCTGACTCGGTCGGTCCACCACAGGTCTCCTCGTACTAGAGCCCCTGTCCCCGCGCCCCTTCGCCTGTCCCGACTGACGCGGCTGACTCGGTCGGTCCACCACAGGTCTCCTCGTACTAGAGCCCCTGTCCCCGCGCCCCCCCGCCTGTCCCGACTGACGCGGCTGACTCGGTCGGTCCACCACAGGTCTCCTCGTACTAGAGCCCCTGTCCCCGCGCCCCCTCGCCTGTCCCGACTGACGCGGCTGACTCGGTCGGTCCACCACAGGTCTCCTCGTACGAGAGCCCCTGTTCCCGCGCCCCTTCGCCTGTCCCGACTGACGCGGCTGACTCGGTCGGTCCACCACAGGTCTCCTCGTACGAGAGCCCCTGTTCCCGCGCCCCCTCGCCTGTCCCGACTGACGCGGCTGACTCGGTCGGTTCACCACAGGTCTCCTCGTACTAGAGCCCCTGTTCCCGCGCCCCCTCGCCTGTCCCGACTGATGCGGCTGACTCGGTCGGTCCACCACAGGTTCCTGACCAGAACACCACCCTGCTGAGCCACCTGCCCAACACAACGGTGGACGCGCTGACCTGGCTGGGTCTGGAGAAGCGGACCCACCTGCCCGACTACGTCAGCGGCTACATTGGTCAGTGGCGCCACCTTCCGAGACGGCTCAGCGGCGTTCCGGGGGCCAAGAGACGGGCCGTGGCCGGACTGTCTGGGCTCTCCAGCACACGAACCGCTGCCACATGATGAACCGCCGCTAGTACTTGAACAGTGCCACGTGGCTCCTCCATCCATCTCCTGTGCGACACTGACCGTGTTCCTGGCTGCTGGCCATGCTCCACACTCCTGGCGGCGGTTCACCAGGCGTGATGACCATGCTGACGATGCCCCGTGTCCTCCCCGACGGGTGATGATCGTCTTGACGGCATCCCTGTCCTCCACAGCCGCGATAATCGTGCTGACGGTGAACAAGTGCGTCTCGGTGCGCACCGTGTACCGCTCGCTGCAGCTGGGCCAGGCGCCGCAGGAGGGCGTCTTCTTCGCCGGCGTCGGCAGGCAGCAGGCCGATTGCGGCCTCGTCGAGATGGTCAAGTACCTTGTCAACTACGGCTTCTACAAATTCGGCGTCGAGGTCAGTGATGGGCAGTCGACAGGAGGGAGATGTTGGAACGTATACGCATACGCCGGTTAGTATATCGTATTACTCGTAGTAAACAGATGCTACCAGGTTGTCGTGCTTCAAATATGAACGCTGTCGTTGCGTTGGTGTGTGCTTCGTGTTTCTCCCAGTGTGGTAACCGTGAACGCTAGTTTTGAGTTCTGCTGGGCTTTTTCCCGCGTGTCATTTTATTGTCACGGTATGGTCTGATCTTTTAACATCATGAGGCATGAGTGTCTAACTGGATAGTGAAGCACCATGCGGGTCGTCAAATGAGTTGTTGACTGTCGTTTAATAGGCGATCTAGACGCCACCTATCTGGCGGCTGATGCTGTGCGCTCTGTTTGCGCCTACCGCTGACCTCGTCTGGTATATCGTGCGATCCGTTCCCGTCGTAGGCAGCTGTTGACTTCAGTGGTGCTGGTAACCTGATCTGAAATGCCCTGCGCCTCCCTGCGCCGTCATGCCCTGCCCAATCGTGCCGTGCCGTGTTCTGTCCTGCGCTGTCCTGCCCCGCCCTGTCCTGTCCTGTCCTGTCCTGTCCTGTCCTGTCCTGTCCTGTCCTGTCCTGTCCTGTCCTGTCCTGTCCTGTCCTGTCCTGTCCTGTCCTGTCCTGCCCTGCCCTGCCCCTCCACCGCCCTGCTCTGCCCTGCCCTGCTGTGCCTTGTCGCCCCGCCCCGCGGTGTCGTGTCATGCCTCGCCGCGCCGTGCCGTGCCCCCGCCGTGTCGTGCCATGCCGTGCTGTGCCGTGCCGTGTCGTGTCGTGCCGTGCCGTGCCGTGCCGTGCCGTGCCGTGCCGTGCCCCGCCGTGTCGTGCCATGCCGTGCTGTGCCGTGCTGTGCCGTGCCGTGTCGTGTCGTGCCGTGCCGTGCCGTGCCGTGGCGTGCCGTGCCGTGCCGTGCCGTGCCGTGCCGTGCCGTGCCGTGCCGCCACGCCCCGCCCCGCCCCTCCCCGCTGTGCCGTGCCGCGCCATTTCTTGCCGTACGCCGTCAGCCCGGCTGTGATCTGACCTCGCCTGTCTGGCAGCTGACGCTGTTCGCGCTGGTGGTGCTGGTCGGCGCACGGCTGGACGTGGTCTCGTTCATGTACTCGCTCTGGCTGTGCGGCCTGTTCAGCCTGCGTCGCGCCACGCTGGCCAAGGTGTGGCCGGTGTTCGTCGTCTTCGCCGCCTGTCTGACGCCGCTGCAGTACCTGATGTGCCTGGGCCTGCCGCCCGCCCTCTGCATCGGTACGGAACCTGAGAGCGAGAGGCTGGGAGTGGGAGAGAGAAGAAGCGCTACGACTCGCTTTCGCTGTAGCAAGCGTGCAGCAGCTCCGCTCATTCGCCGTGCATGTTGTGAGCAGGGCGACTGCATCGACTCTTGGGTTTGCCTGTTTTGAAGTCATTGGGTTTAAAGCTGTTTTCCACCGACGACGTTTTACCAATGAGTATGTAGTGTTCGTTTAGTCTACGAGTTTTTGTTTTCTGTTCTTTGGAAGCTCGTTGCGACTGCTAAACGATCCCCCGGCCCGCATTGGCTTCTGGCGAAATAGGCTCTGCCCCTTTTTCATGCGTTGAACGATCTCGCGGTGATGACGTGTCCTGTTTTCAGAGTACCCGTACACGTCCATGATATCTCCGGAACTGACGTTCTGGCTGTATCTCCCCGACTACCAGACGTCACCATTGGCACCCAAACTGATGGGTAATCAGACGATCTCAATTTGCTGACATCATTTCATTGAATATCAACCGACCTGGCTCCTTCAACGCATATCTCCTGTAAGAAATGAAATACTTGCCAGGAGCAGGTTTGCGGTTTGTCGGATAACATTTTCCGCGGTTAATTTGTGGCAAAGACTCCAGTGATCCTGCCCATGGTCAGTCTTCAGCCTCCGTCACAACTTATCAGCCTCTTCTATATCTGTTGTACAGAGAGGCTCAGACCGACCGTCCTGTCCGTGCTCTCGCAGAAATCATTCGCGCTCTGCCTTGTATGCGGCTCTCCTCGGCATTGGCCGCCTGTGTGGTGACGCCTCGCGCGCATCTGGTGCCGACAGCGGACTTCTTCCTGCTGCTGCTGGCCTGCTGCCAGCGCCAGGTGTTCCAGCTGGAGTCGGCCGAGGGCGACCGCTACCTGGGCGGCAGCAACACGCCCATTGATGAACACCAACTGGGCGCAGGCTACGTCAACGCCGTGCCAGACTATATCACCAGAAAGGGGTCAGTAGCGAGGAGAGTTTGGAGCTGGTAGAGTCAGCGGCGGGGATGATCAGCACCGGGAAGGGCCAGCGCCGAGGAGGGTCAGAAGCGAGGGGGTGCAGTGTAGCGAGGAGAGTTGGGAGCTGGTAGAGTCAGCGACGGGGATGATCAGCACCGGGAAGGGCCAGCGCCGAGGAGGGTCAGAAGCGAAGGGGTGCAATATAACGGGAGGGGGCGGAGGGGGAGCAGTGTCGGAATGCAGTCAGCAGCGCAGGCGGAGGAGTGGCATTGTCGGAGGTAGCAGTGGCGCAAGGGGCTCAGTAGCGAAGGAGAGGGGGATGTTCGTGCGTGGAATGCTTGGGCCAGACGAGTCGGACCCAAGAGACGGACCCTGATATATTTGTTTGTGACCATGGCTTTGCACGTCAGTGTGCTACAGATAGCCGCAATCGTTCCGGATGTGGCCATGATGTAACGGGAAGCTGGACCTCAAGCTGACACTGTATCTGTCGCTCAGGACATACCTGGACGTTTTGAAGCGGGTCATCTTCTTCTCCTGCTACTGGCTGACGTTGGTCGTTGTTTTCCTGGCGGGCATCAACCGCATCACCCTGTTGTCGCTGCTCTACGTGGCGAGCGCCTTCATCTTCCTTTGGAAGGGCAATGACTACTACCTCCTTCCCTTCAAGGACATACGGAGGAGGTGTGTAGCGTATGGGCGGGCGCGGTACAGGTTGGGTGACAAAGCTGACTTGGGCAGCGAGATCTGATGTACTTATCACTGCTGGATACTGGGCATTACTTCCGATGTCTTTCTTGATCGGATCTGGCTTCAACCAACATGATGTGATTCTCTCGTTTATCCACTTAGTTTCGCGCAAAGCTACGCTCCTGAGATGGATGTGCCCATGGTGACGTTGTCTATGGGCCAGGTGGTGTTCCTCTGCGTTGGTTTACGCCGCGTACTGACGTAGTGGCCGTCTCCGCGTCCGTTCGCAGGTGGATCCTGCTGATCACCTACAGCGTGGTGGTCATCACGCTCAAGAGCTCCGTCTTCCAGATGATGGGCTGCGTCTTCCTGCCCTTCTTCATGAACAACGCGTGCTGGCTCGTCCAGCTGATGGGCATCGGCTGCCTGCGCCAGATGGATCACATGCCAACCGAAACAGGTGCGCGCCGCCGAGACGTGCCGGGCGTGGACAGCCAGGGCGTGTGTCAGCCTCTCCGACGTGTGTTGGCAGATCAATGGCTGGGTGTCTGCCGACTGGCGGGATTTTGTGTTTGCTTCTTTCTGTTCAGCCCTTTTGAATGCTCCGCCCGTGGTGATGCCACCTCTTGGTCCGACGTCATGTGTCCTATGATGACGTCACACGTGCCGCAGTGCGCTCCGACAAGTGTCCGGTGCCCCACTCGGAGGCCGGCCTGCTCTGGGACGGTCTGGTCTTCTGCTGTCTGCTGCTGCAGCTGCGTTTTTTCTCCAGCCACTATTTCCAGCACCTGGTGCTGGAGACCCGGGCGCAGCAGATGCTGGCCAGCAGGTCAGTACGGTCGGTGGCCGTAGGTTGTTCCCCCCCCCCTCGCACCCCACCTCCCCCCTCTATCAACGCGTCAGGGTGGTGTTACCCGTGGCGGATTTTCTCTATCCGCTGTTTTAGTGTATAAGGCGTGGCGTGCAGTTCTGTGAAACAATATCACTTTTGCCCTACAACCTCCGGTAATGTTGCACAAGCCACAAGGGCCAAGAGCGGTGATATGGCATAACATGCAGTCCTACAGCAGGATATGTTCCCGACGGCCGCGGTGGTATGAGAAGGCACTCTCACTACGTGCTGCGCGTGGTGTCCGGCGGCGCCGAGAGCGTCGAGAGAACTGAGGGTGATCTGACGACCTGGCCAGTCCTTGACCCGACCTGAACTCGACCTGACCTGCCCCGGTCCGCCCGGTGCGCCTCCTTGACCCAACCGCGACATGACCTGGTCTGTCCGTCAGCTGACCTGACCTAAGCCGGCCTGTTTTATCCTGGCCAGCTCGGCCGTCAGGTGCATGGAGATGATCAAAGGGCATGATGAGTCCGCGACCTGACCCCACCTGACCTGACCGGCTCGGCCGCCAGCGGCGCCGAGATGATCGAGCGCGAGCGCAGGAAGACGATTGCCAAGCGCCAGGCGGAGGAGGAGAAGGCCATGGCCGACATCCGGCGCAAAATGGAGCGCATCAAGGAGCAGCGCATCCAGAAGCACCGCCAGAAGTATGACAACCACTACCAAGGTGAGGTGGGCCCGGACGACAGCGTGCCGACCGCTGCGCGCGGGCGGACCCCGCGTCCCCGTGGCGGCGTCGATGTAGGTGAGGCGCCGGTGCGCTGGTTTGCGCGAGTTGGCGGTGAGCGCCGTTCGGGTGACTTATCGCAGCTGCCGTTCTTACCGTATCACGGCCCAGCAGCATGTGGTGGCCGACGCGTTTGTCATGATAGGACCGGTGTTGTGCCATGTTGCCGTGTCTTTTTTCTGAGCCACACTTTTTGAGGCTCGTTACTGCATTGTGTGAAGCCGGATGGCGGTCCCTTTGTGCCCCCTCTTCCGCCTCCGCGCGCGTGGCCTACTAACCAGTGTGTGGGCGTGCCTCCACTGCTTGCCGGAGGGTGTCGTGCACGCGGTCTGGTAAGGGGCGTGGATCGGACCGGGCACCGCTGCCGGCGTCACGGGCAGGCAGACGTCCAAGGGGGCCCCAGCTGGACCTGGGGAAGTGATGCTGCTGATGTCACAGCTCAGATGGTGTCTGTCGTGATCTTGCACGGCAGCAATCACCGATTGACGCCCAGGCGCCAAGCGGCGCATAAGGGCACTAAGATGCCTGCTATTGTCAGCTAGAACGCTATTGACTGCGTGGAACGTTTTGTTTATTTCCGGCCCTTGACGCGAAGGACAACCGCAAACATGGCAGTGCGTGGAGCTGATCGTGTCTTGATGGAGACTCCCGGGGGCCGTGCCAAGCCCAGTGACGTCGCGCCGTGTGTGCTCCGGTCCGAGCCGTGTGATTGCTCATTTTTGTTCCGGCCCCTGTAAGCACCCACTTCCACTACCCTGAATGACCGTGTCTTCCAGCGCCGCTCCTGGTGCATAATGCCCGCTCCCGTTACATAGGCACGGCACGGATCCTCACGGGATCAATGTTTTGTTCCCATGCCCTAATTCATACGCCACCTTATTCTGACCTGTACTAACGCTTCAGTTCTGACAAGAATCAGCCCGTATGTCCCGAACGTTGTTTGTTCACCTTGCCTCCTCCAAATGTCCCGTTTCCTTCCCTCGTGGCGGTCATATGAGTTGTACTTGTCGGCATGCGGCTGCCCCTGGCTCGACTAGAACCGTCCTGTCTTCTGGGTTTGTGAAGACTGTCCAGATCTCCCCCTCTCTCGGTCGTCATTGTTTTCACTCCGTCTCCGTACTTCCGCGATCCCGTCCCGTCCGGTCGCGTTTCCTGTCTGTGCCTCACCTGGTCTCGTGTCTCATTTCCACATGTCGGCCATTCCTGTGTCTCGCATCTTTGTCTTCCTGTCCCGCACTGGACTCGTTCCGTTCCAGCACGGCCCCGCTCCGTTCCAGTGCCGCCCGCTTTTCTCCAGCCCGACCCTGCTCCGCTCCACCCCGTTCAGTTCATCTCCATCCCGCTCATTCGTGCTTCGTCTCGTTCAGCTCCGCTTCGTTCTGTTCAGTTCCTCTTCATCCCGCTCAGTTCCGCTGCATTCCGTTCAGCTTCGCTCCATCCCGTTTATTTTCCCCAATCCCGTTTAGTTCCACTCCGTCGGACTCGGTTTCCTTTCATCCTGCTCAGTTCCGTTCCATCCCGTCAGGTTCCGTTCCATCCCGTTAGGTTCCGTTCCATCCCGTTTAGTTCTGTTCCATCCTGTCCCGTTCCAGCACTGCCCCGCTCCGTTCCCGCCGGCCTGGACCCGGCTGACGGCGGGCGGCCACCCGCAGCCGGCACCGACTCGCTGATGAGCACGCCTCTGAACTCGCTGCCGGCGCGGCTGTGGGGCGAGCGCAGTCCGCGGCTGTCTCTGAACCCGCCGACGGCCGGCACCCCGTCCTCCACCGCCCCCACCTTCTCGCTCGACGGCTTCATGGAGGCGTCGACGTCGGTGGCGCAGGGCCTGCCCTCGCCATCCGACGCGTCCAGCGTCTCCTCGGTGCCCGCTCCGCCCCTGGACCGGCCGCTCATCGGATACGGTAGCGCGCCGACGCCGCCGTCGCCGTCGCCGTCGCCACCGTCGCAGACGGGGCTTCGGCGCCGTTCGGGGTGTCTCTCTGTCTGTCCCTCCATGTGGCACGACCCGGCGGCTGGGTGCGGTGTGGGACCAGGTAGTCTGTGCTGACAGAGGGGTGGTCCGCCCCATGACATAGCTGTGGAGGTACTGTGGGTGCTGCTGGGCGGTACAGAGTCTCTGTCGCCGCAGCGTTCCGGGGAAGAGAGGAACGCATTCTTGTGAGCGCTCCTGGCGCGGCCGGTTGGAATCCGGCTCTCCGCGGTCAGTTTTACACTGGTACCAAGCCGCGATGTCTGTCCTGTCAGCACCGAACCCTGCCCACACCGCCTCCCCGGACTAAATGCACGCAACGTCATCACACACGTGAAGGACGATGACCTCTACTTAACTGTTGTAAGTGTCCTAACGTGCCTTGTTTGAGCATTGGTAAAGGCTGATGCGCCTCTATCTCTGATCTTTCTCTCTGTCTGCTCTTATCTTGTCTAGTCTAATTAGCGCCGCTTCAACTTTCTCTTTCAGGTGTTTGTACTGCGCGATGTGCGCAGTTAAATAACCGGGAATAGTTGTTTTTAAATTGTATTAAATACAGAAAATATACGTGATTTGAGGACAACGATTTCAATGAAACTGAACTCACGAAATGCCAGGTAGTCTATTAATGTGTTTAATCAAGTGCCTTTTAAGTACATTTATTGTCACCAGTAATCTTTTAAAGAACTCATCTGTCTTTGGTGTGATGCTGGGTTGGTCGGAGTAACAGTTAGCCGAAATAAATTTTCTAACGAAATTTTGACGCGTTTCTTGTCAGGGCATTTTTGTCTGAGACTGGCGCGTACCTAATACTTTGCAGCGTCTTGGCGTGTCTAATCAAATACCGAAGGTGAAAAAGATCGCGCATGCCGTGCAGGAAATATGATTTGTGACGCGGGGATTTATGGAAGTGCTTTTGCTATCGCGTGTAAATCATGTAGCGGGAAGAACAGGGGTTGACCTAAGGAAGTGAGGAGAGTTCGGCTTTGCGTTCGTTTTTCCATCCTGGCTGCGTTCGTCGAGCGACTGTGTTTTCGGGTGTTCAATTCACCGTCTTCCGGTTGTACAGAAAATCACAACTTCAAAAATGTACTTAATGTGCAAATAGATGAATGTATTTATGGTACATGTGTTGAATGTACAACATTTTACGATCAGATGGCGGCACAATAATGCGCTGAGCTTGTTAGAGAGAGTATGCCACCATTTTTGTATTTTTCACTTCTTGCCGATCAGACGCATCCGATTGATCGGTGATGTCAATTTTCTTTGAATCCGTCTGAATAGCTCACAACCTCGATTTGAAGCAGACGATCCTGCGGGAGGAGTAGTATTGGACTCCCTTACACCACTATGAAAGTGATGCATTTAATTTGCGTTGATTTTTTCAACGCATGAGTTCTGTAACGCTTGTAACACACCAGTTGTCAAAGTGCTTATATACTGAATGCTATGAAAGTTGGGAACATTCGTTTTAGATAATAAGATAGGCAGACATGAGGCTTTTATCCCGCGAATTCAGTGAAACGTTATATTGGGGCGTTGATTTCTCTCCTGCGTTTAGCGCAGTGGTTCTTTTCGAAGAGCTCCTTGGCCTTGGCAAACGGATTACCACGTTGAATATAGTAATGCACCGGTTCAAATTTGAACCGGTGCGTTCCTCGGTAAATGGCCCTTGCCACCCGCTGCGCCAATCATTGCTCATGCGTATCGACGTCATTCATATCTGTGGAGGTGCCAGTTTTAAGCCCGCAGGCTCGCGGTGTGTGTGTGAAAAAAAACAGGTTAAAAAGTGCCACCTCTAACCCGTAACAGCTATTAACGGTCCTCAGTAGATTGTGTCCTGGTATCTATCTGTTATCTATGCCCCTAGATTCTGCCGTCGTTATGAAGGCGGCGGGCGCGACAGCTGCAGCTGTTGCGGACGCGTGGGGCTATCAAGAGAGGAAGAAGTGTGGTGTCGTTACAATGGGTTGACAGCGTATTTGGACTGGAACATAATTTGTTGTAATTTATCTGCATGGTGCTGCATCGGCGTTGCCCAGTGCTGTCATTTGACGTGAATGGTTCTGGAGTTTCACCAGAGTATCTTAAAATATGCTCCAAATGTGGAGCACTCCCTTTAAGCTAGTCATGCAACTTACCGTTTTTTACGATGTGATTAGGCCAGTCGGTGCCGCGTTTGCTGTAACTTTTTTGTGTTATGTTGCACTTTCTAGACCTGCCCCTGAGAACAAGTTCTTGGCTTTTTAGGATGCCAATAAGCCACCGTAATTCGACGAAGCACAAGTGCTAGAGACCGTGTATTAGATCATATAACGCCATTTGATATAACGGTTGAAAAGAACACGGCGCCAGGCCAGATACCAAAGAGACTTTAAGCTGACACGTAGCCAAGGTTTTCCTCTGGGAAGGATCAAATGTCGAGTTGTCTCCAAACGCCAGCAAATTTGGACTGCGTTCCTGCAAAATCACTAGTAAGCCTCTTGGCTCAGCGGAGGGGGTGGGGAGGCATCGCTCCCGCAGTCCCTTCCCCTCTGGCTAGATCCTTGCTCTTAATGAAGGGTAGGTGTGGTGAAATTGTGGCCGCTGCTGTCAGGCGTTTAATTACCGTTTCTGATTTGGTTGTCGCTCAAGATCGCAGACAAGATCGCAGACCTCTTCAAATAAATGCCCAGCTCGTTTGATGAGAACGATTCCGTACCCAAACCATCTCTTCGTAAACGCTATCTAGAGGTCATGAATACGGAGCCATCTAAACTGGCTCTCACGTTAAGCAGCGCCATCTAAACTGGCTCTAACTTAGGACGGTGCCATCTGAACTCGCTCTATTTTTAGACGGTGCCATCTAAACTGGCTCTAACTTTAGACGGTGCCATCTAAACTCGCCCTAACTTTAGACGGTACCGTCTGAAATGGCTCTAACTTTAGACGGTGCCGTCTAAACTCGCTCTAACTTTAGACGGTGCCGTCTGAAATGGCTCTAACTTTAGACGGTGCCATCTGAACTGACACTTGCGATCAACAGTCCTGCTTTCTTTTTTGTCTGATCAAAACGCATGCTAACGGTGGAGAGACTACATTGCAAGACACCCTGACATACACCAGCCGCATATACAGCTACCGGGAGTGATCTGGACTTGTGCTGTCCGACCGCTTTGTCTTTCTTCGCTTGAAAGGTGGCCTCACCGTCGGTGTGCGAGAGACGCATTTGACGGTGATGGGGGCGCAATCGTACCTACCGACAGTAACTCATTGATTCTGGACATTATCTTAATCTCTAAATCACATTCATTGGAAGAATACCATTCAAATGAATGAATTTGTTTTCATTATGATAGCAGCCCCAAAAGTTGTAAGTGTGCAATAAACTGCATGGTTTTGTCTTCTTAAGTTTCTAGATGTTTGTGGTAAAGCAACTCATTTGCGTCACTTTTTCAAGTTTTGCGGTGTTGGCTGAGTTCTATGAGCGTGTAAATTTCAAACTTAAGTTGCCGTTAGATTGGCCAGATACGTATCATCCACAACGTGCTTGTCCACTTAACGTAATACCCAACGAATTAAATCATGGGTGTTGAACTCATGATACGCCAGCACCGTTACTGTCGGTTTGTCAACTTTCCGCTAGGCGCTTTGTCGTGTTCGTCCTGTGTCCGCTTGCTGCACTAACACCTGTGGTCCGCCTCTCTCTCTCTCTCTCTCCGTCTCCCCGCCGCGGCTGCCGCCGGCGCCGTGACGTCACAGTGATCCACTCTTGTGCCGCTGAAGACCTGGAGCTGGATCTGGAGCGAGAGCTGGAGGAGCCGCCGCCGGAGCTGGCGCCGCCGCCGGAGGACGGTGGCCGCGAGATATCGCCCGGCCAGGTCAGGATACGCGCAGACTCAGAGAAAGAGGCAAGAGACGTGGTATCAGGGTGGCAGCTATGTGTACCACGTGCTCCGTGCCATGTAGCCAGTGCTGGGGGTGCGGCGTGCGCCACACGTGTGTCGTTCGACAACCGAGTCCCGGCACGCTCTACGTCTTGCTCCCCTTCACTCATGAAAAATAGCGCTTTGAAGGTTGCGACCGGTGGCGTCAGTGAAATGATCACTGCACACGTCCACCAGTAGCATTTTTCTGTTGTCTGATTATCCGGAGAGCGGGATGACGCCGCATGGCAGGTGGTCGCCGGCCGTCCCTCCGGCGGCGGTCTACTGCGCCTTACCCTCGACGTGTCTGTTATCAGCTGCTGCTATCAGGCATCATGAAGGACTTCAGCTCGGCGGCCGAGGACGCCCGCCGCGCCCGCCGCAAGTCGGGCGAGGAGCAGCCGCCGGCGCCGGTCCGGCGCCGTGGCACGCTGCAGCGCGCCAAGTCACACCACGTGCCCAGCGTGAGCCGCGCGCCGCCAGGAGAGGGCAGGAGGCTGTGGTCAGGGAGTCGAGTTTTGAGGGGCCGTTTGTGGGGTAGTTGAGCGCCTGAGCATGGATTAGATCAGTCAAAAGTATCGCCTCAACATGTATCGCGAGTTGCGAGTGCGGCGATCTGAGGGAGCGGCTTTGATGGAGGCGTTGGTGGCCCGGGCTTATTTTGTTCATCTTCACGTTGACAGACTGGAAATTTACGCTTTGAAATCAGTCGTTAGCTGTTACGGATTTTTTCCTACATTGTAAAATGCGGATAGCCGGGGTTTGTTTTCGCTTTTGAAAACCCAAACCAAACCAGAACGCTTTTGCAAACTATTCCATGTATTTCCTCGCTGACTCGACACGTTTTCTGTGACAGCAAGGCTGCAGCGCTTCATGCACCCACCCTGTTATTGGTTTGCGATAGCTAATCTTGAAGGTGCGACAGTCGCCCTGTCTCCGCTCCGGCTCCACCCTGTCCCCGCTCCGTCTCCGCCCTGTCCTCCGCTCCGTCTCCGCCCTGTCCCCCGCTCCGGCTCTGCCCTGCCCCCCCCCCCCCCCGCTCCGTCTCCGCCCTGTCCCGCTCCGGCTCCGCCCTTTCCCGCTCCGGCTCCGCCGTTTCCGCTCTCCGGCTCCGCCCTGTGCCCCGCTCCGGTTCCGCCCTGTCCCCACTCCGGCTCCGCCCTGCGCCCCGCTCCGGCTGTGCCCCGACTCCGCCCTGTGCCCCGCTCCGGTTCCGCCCTGTCCCCACTCTGGCTCCACCCTGTGCCCCGCTCCGGCTCCGCCCTGTCCCCACTCTGGCTCCGCCCTGCGCCCCGCTCCGGCTGTGCCCCGACTCCGCCCTGTGCCCCGCTCCGGTTCCGCTCCGTGCCCCACTCCGGCTCCGCTCCGTCCTCCGCTCTGACCCGGCAGTCTCGTGTGTGCGCTGGCAGCGGCAGGGCTCGCCTCGCGCGCGGCTGACGCGGCTGCACAGCGACCCGGCGCCGCGCACCCATCCGCCGCCCATCTCCAGCCTGGCGACGCTGCAGTCGCAGGACTCCGCCGACGACGACGAGCCGCTGGTGGCGCCGCGTGACGACGCCGAGCGCGATGACTCGGAGTCGGAGGAGGGCGCCGGCCGGAGAGGTCAGCCGAGCGGGAGGGGTACGGCGGCGGCGGAGAGATTGGCCAGGGGCGGTAGAGGTGGAGGTTAGGATGGATAGGATGATGCTGGGGAGATAGGTCATGCTAGAAAAGAAGTCGAAGGAGCAGTGCCGGCGAAAGAGGTCAACATCGGTCGGGAGAGGGGAGGGGAATGCTGGAGATAATGGTCGGCGATTGGGGGGGGGGGGGGGGGTCACAAGTGCCTCCTCCGTTCTTTTCCCCCTGCCGTCAGTTCGTTGGTAGTTACAGCCTGTGGTTTCGTGCTTACATGGTACAGAAAGGGCCGCTTTGACTGGTTCGTTCAACTCCTTAGCGATTAAAGCCAGACAGTTCGGTGAGCATGAAGCGTTGTTTTGTTTCATGTACAACATGGCGATCCCAGCGTCCCGGTTTCATATGGCGTGTTCCTGGCCTATAGCAGCGGCCGTGATGTGACTGCCAAGCTTTAGAGTTTAACGCTTTGTTCTCAGCACTAGCCTCCCTGCTGAGTCGGACAATCCTGGGTCTGAAGTCGGCCGGCAACTTCCTGCTGGAGTTCGCCGCCAGTATTTTGATCGCGCTCACGGTCAAGTTGAACAACGTGTCGGCCGACTACCGCTACATCGCGAGGAAGCTCTCCAAGGAGAAGCGACGCCTCAAGGTACCTTGGGCTCGGCACCCGTCTCGGAGGGAGGAGGGGGCTGGACCTGAATTGTGCGGTTTATTGGGACAAGAGTGGGATGTGGCGTTCGTTATGCAGATTTGGTTGGCGAGTTATTTTCAATGGGCGTAGTTGTGTTTACATTTTTTATGACATAAAACCAAAAAAGAAGAAAGCTTCTATGAAAATGTGCGTTTTCCAGAAAACCCCTTCCTTATCCCATAGCAGGGTGCGTAGACCCTGTGCTAAATGCATCTATCACTCAGTTTGCGTGATATATTCTGGCCAATCTGTAGTACCATTTGCCTGCGATTATAAGTACACCACATTTCATGTCTTCGTTCTCTGCAGTCAGTCAGCCTCCATTATTACGTCGTGATTTTCGGGTCATGGTCACGACTTTGTGTTTCAGAAGTCCTATCCCACTGTTCCGACCCTTTTTTATGCCTCCTCCCTCTCAGCTGGTATGTTTCAGCCTGAGCCCTGACCGCCGCTGCCGTGTTTTAGGAGCCCTGACCCCGCCGCTGCCGTGTTTTAGGAGCCCTGACCCCACCGCTGCCGTGTTTCAGGAGTCTTGACGCTGCCGCTGCCGTGTTTCAGGAGTATTGACACTGCCGCCGTCGTGTTTCAGGACCCCTGACTGTGTTGCTGTCGTGTTTCAGGAGTCATGGCAGCGTGGTCAGCCGGCGCCTGCGCCGGCACCGGTGGTGCCACCCGCCCAGCCTGCCGCCGCCGACCCCGGAGCCGGCGGCGATGCGCCCCTCGTCTACCTCACCCCGGACGGCACCCCGCAGCTGGGCGGGAGCGAAAGGAAGCCGCCGTCGTCCGACGCCATGGTCGTGTGAGTGACGTCCGATGACTGACAGAGGCCAGCCAGGGTAGCTCAGGTCGGCCAGGGTAACTCAGGCCGGCCAGGGTGGCTCAGGCCTGCCAGGGTGGCTCAGGCCGGCCAGGGTAGCTCAGGCCGGGCAGGGTGGCTCAGGCCTGCCAGGGTGGCTCAGGCCGGCCAGGGTAGCTCAGGCCGGGCAGGGTGGCTCAGGCCGGCCAGGGTGGCTCAGGCCGGCCATGGTGGCTCAGGCCAGTCAGGGATGGCCCCAGGGCCATTGTCGGGAGACGCTGGGAGCACGCAAAGTAGCCGATGTGCCTGGATCCTGGACCGTGGATCCTGGGCCCATTCAACGGCTGCCACAACAATGCAAATGGAGGCTAATGATATAACATGAAGGACACTGTTATGTCTATAGTACAAAATGAATGAATTTGGCATTTGTCTAACGACCATCTGAAAAAAACACTATTGCAGCTTACCATGACCCTCTGAAACACGACACATGTCGTCGGAAGTGACCCCGACCACTCCGGTGTGACCCCTGACCACCGCGGTGTGACCCCTGACTTCTGCGGTGTGACCCCTGACCCTGACCACAGCGCGGCGTGTGATGGTGACGGAGACGGGGACGGGGACGACGGTGTGAAGCACCAGGTCTCTGACGACCTGAGCACGGCCAGTGCCCGTCAGATCCTGGAGCAGCTGGCCGTGGCCCTGTGGTACGCTGTCGTCAGCCGCTCGGAAATGGTGGCCTACATCGTGGTCTTCATCAACCAGGTGCGGCGAGGCTCTTGCTGTCGGCTTACTGCCACCGAAGGACGGCGATGAGGGCCGAGTTCTGTGCTGTGGTGTTCGGAGCGAATAATCCAATGAAAAACATGAAAGTCGGCCGAAATTATATCGCAAGCATGCCAAAGACGTGCTACAGACTGGAAAGAGAGTTCGTTAATATGCCGATTTGTGTGACCACTTTGTATTAATTGTACCTGTTTAAATGCGGCCTGCCCAGGGAACCGTCCGGTGCTGTCCCTTCCACGTTATTCTGGCGAACGGCATGGTGATAAGCTCGAAGTTTATTTGAAGCTACGAAAATGGCATGGCGAAAATGTCACGTGCAGAAAATGTTCCGCGTCTATTCGTGTAGTAACTGTGCTCTGCTGCCTCGCTGAAATCGTTGACGGGACTAAGGACATGACGCCTTTTTTCTGGGACGTCCGACAGATGAAGTCGGCGTCGATTCTGTCTCTGCCGCTGCCGATGATGGTGTTCTTCTGGGGCAGCCTGTCCGTGCCGAGACCCAGCAAGACGTTCTGGGTGACAATGATCGCCTACACAGAGGTAACTCAAGACATACTGGACATTATCGAGGCGAGGGCTTTCTTGATGTTATGATTGCCTGGGTGGCCTGCCGTGATATTCCGCGTGATTGTATCGTCCGTGATGGCCTAAGTCTGCCTGTCAAGGGCCGCCACATGTGTGGCACATGTGATGTCAGTCAAGACTACGTTCTTCTGTGGTAGTAGATGGAAGTCAGTACATCACTGAGTCATCCGCGAAGCTCTGGTGATTTTTACTTCGTCCGTGTTCAGGTATGTCGTTTTTGGTGTGACGTACATCCGTCATCGTGTGGCACTAGTCTGTCACAGCATTTCACTGTTCGCCCGTTCATCAAGCCCTTGTGTTTCCGTTTCAGACCATCATCATCATCAAGTACATGTTCCAGTTCGACTTCTTCCCCTGGAACCACATGCAGAAGCTGAACGACCCGTTCTGGCCGCCGCGTATCCTGGGCGTTGAGCAGAAGGAGCAGTACACCGTGTACGACCTCGTCCTCCTGCTCATCATCTTTTTCCACAGGTGGGCGAGCGTTGGCCTGGTGAGGTTTTTCCGGAAGCAGGCGATCACGGCGACATGGACCTGTTCGTGGCGCTATGCCGGGCGGCGCAATGGCGGCAGGTGTTACTCCGTCTATGCTGGCGGACCTGTAGCGGCCCCGGGGATGTATCTGTGTCCTCTTAACGTGCTTCAATCATTACACATGCCTGGCACCATGGTGCGAACAGTGCCTTTAGAATTGGTTACGTTGACAGCACCTGGCTCACTGCCATAGATCATCCAGTGACCAGTGATATCCGCAGTCAACAATACGGTAATGAAGCAGCCCATTTAAAGCCAGGACCCCAGCAATTATCTCTCTCATATGCATAAATGGATATCTTGTTAAGGTCAATCTCAACCTCAAACCTCAAAAACATGATGCAAACTTCAGACATCAGTTCTGACCATAATATAACCTCATAGCTAGATTTTGGCCTACGCAAACCGAATTCCTGTGACCTCCGATGAGCCTCCTCTCTCTCTCTCTCTCTCTCTCTCTCTCTCTCTCTCTCTCTCTCTCTCTCTCTCTCTCTCTCTCTCTCTCTCTCTCTCTCTCTCTCTCTCTCTCTCTCTCTCTCTCTCTCTCTCTTCTCTCTCTCTCTCTCTCTCTCTCACTCTCTCTCTCTCTTCTCTCTCTCTCTCTCTCTCTTCTCTCTCTCTCTCTCTCTCTCTCCTCTCTCTCTCTCTTCTCTCTCTCTCCTCTCTCCTCTCTCTCTCTCTCTCTCTCTCTCCTCTCTCTCTCTCTCTCTCTCTCTCTCTCTTCTCCCCTATTCTCTCTCTCTCTCTATCTCTTCTCTCTCTCTCTTCTTCTCTCTCTCTTCTCTCTCTCTCTCTCTCTTTCTCTCTCTCTCTCTCTCTCTCTCTATCTCTTCTCTCCTCTATCCCTCGTCTCTCTCTCTCTCTCTCTCTCTCTCTCTCTTCTCTCTCTCTCCTCTCTCTTCTCCTCTCTCTCTCTCTATCTCTCTCTCTCTCTCTCTCTCTCTCTCTCTCCTCTCTCTCCTCTTCTCTCTCTCTCTCTCCTCTCTCTCTCTCTCTCTCTTTCTCTCTCCGCTCTCTCTCCCTCTCTCTCTCCCTCTCTCTCCCCTCTCCTTCTCTCTCTATCTCTCTCTCTCTCTCTCTCTCTCTCTCTCTCTCTCTCTCTCTCTCTCTCTCTCTCTCTCTCTCTCTCTCGCTCTCTCGCTCTCTCGCTCTCTCGCTCTCTCGCTCTCGCTCTCGCTCTCTCTCTTTTGTGGGTGTGGCTTACCATCGTCTCACCTGTCGCGTGTCGCCGGCCGGCAGGCTGGTGATGAAGACGCTCGGCCTGTGGAAGGACGTGGACGACGAGGCGGTGCCGGAGCCGGCCGCGCCGCCGCCGCCGCCTCCGGACCATCTGGGTGCCCCGGAGCGCTCTGTGGCAGAGCGCGGCCGCGCTGCCGCCCAGAAGGCCCGCAGCGAAGTCATGGAGGGGTGTGTGACATGCCGGGGGAGGGGGGGGGACAAACGGCGGCCGCCAAGGGACTGGAGGACGGGAAACGGAGGGGGGGGGGGGAGCTCTGGTAAAGATCAGGCAGGTTGGACGGTATGGTGGGGCTACTCATCTGTTATATGGTCTGATGTTGGCTCACAAGTGATAGGATGCCTATGAGGGTTGGCTGGGCGGAACAGCGTACGTGTGTTTTTTTTTGGGGGGGGGGGCGGGCCGGCCTTCATATTATGCTGTCTGCAAGGTGACGATTTTGCCTTAAATTTGAGTCATATTGCTTTGGAACAAAACAGTAGAAATATATCACTGAATAGGAATATGCTGAATTGGCTGTGATAATTTCAGTTTCAAGTTTTACCTATCGGCGACGAGCGAGTTCTTCAAGTCGCTGTTGTCCACCTCGGGCAAGGAGAAGGTGGACGTTTACGCATACATGTTCATCTGTGACTTCATCAACATGTTTGTGGTGCTCCTCGGATTCTCCTCCTTCGGCGTAAGTGCTGCATCTTTGCGCTCGAGTGACCTTGACGGCGAACGTGACGTAAGTTGCACACCAGGTCAGGCCAGGCCATAGGGCCGGAAACGGACGGATGTATCGACACTGCTGGTGTCGCGGCTGCAGATGCGGTCCGGCTGGCTGAGAAGCTTCAGTCCGCCTTTTGGACCCGTTCGTTATGCGGCCGTAAATGCTGCAGTGGAGCTGAATATTCGCTGCCCCATAGACCCGCGCCGCTCAGGCGATGTATAGACGGGCACCGCGAACTGACCTGGAGCCGACCGGAGGCCGCTGCTCAGCCAGGTCTTCAATTTGGCTCGGTCGCCACAGTCGTGGCAACTGTGGTTCCCTACGACGTCACATCACCCGCCCTCCTGGGAGCTGACCGCGCGTGCCCCGGCTGCCCGGACCCACCTCTGACCCTGCCCTCGCCCTCCGACAGCCGCCACAGGGAGGCGGCGGCGACATCTCGTCGGTGGTGGAGGAGAACCGCGTGCCCATCCCATTCCTCATCATACTGTCGCTCAACTTCCTGCTGATCCTAGTCGACCGCGCCCTCTACCTGCGCAAGACGGCGCTGTGGAAGCTGGTGTTCCAGTACGTGCTGGTCGTGGTCGTGCACGGCTGGCTTTTCTTCACGCTGCCCGCCATGACCGACAGGTGGGTGTGACGTCATCCGGCGTGGGTCTGTGTGTGACGTCATACTACGTATATGTGAGCGTATGCGTGTGGCTCCGACGCATTGCTTGGCTTTAGATCGGGCCATCAGAACTGGGGTGAAAGTTGGGGGAAGTTTTGTGTTGACTCTTGCAGCTCATTGATGTTTCCAAGCAAGGCGACCATGGTGATTCCGGAATCGCCCGTGCGATGTGTATGCACGTATGAGACATTTTCTTTCTCAACTAATGTTTTGTATCACCACGTGTTTGTGTGTGTGTGTGTGTGTGTGTGTGTGTGTGTGTGTGTGTGTGTGTGTGTGTGTGTGTGTGTGTGTGTGTGTGTGTGTGTGTGTGTGTGTGTGTACGTAATCTAAATCGTAATCAGACGTTCAGACGTCCTTTGGTGGGCTTCGGCAACGATCGGTTGTGGTTGGGGTGGTAACTCCCTATTCCCTGTAAGCTCAACAAATCGGGGCTCGCGAGATGCGGACGTGGTATGCATCTCGTGGTGGCTGTGGCACGCATCTCGAGTGGCCGGGGGGGGGGGGGTCCCACCCATTGGTGACGTCACTGATGTAATTCAGCGTCCGTCATCCTCAGCTACTTTCATCGGTCAGCACAGTCTACATGCGTGCGGGTTATATCAGAGGCCTTCTGTGGGCTGCTGTATTCAACCATTGAGATGTGATGGGATAGACTGCTTTGATATGTTTCGGGCGCCATGTCTCTGACATTAGTCTGTTGTGTATAGCAAAGGGTGGCTGCCACCGTGGTGCCACCTCCCTGGTTGGTTTGTTCTTACCTATGTCCAGTGCTGTCAAGTGGTGCGTACAATTGTACAGGAGAAGTCACAATCCTCCTTCCTGCCGCTCCAGTGGCGACAGGTGCTCGTCTGTACGACCGGCCTGTGTATATGTCCCGCAGGGAGTTTAACCAGGCAGTGGCTCCTCGCGTGTGGTACATGATCAAGTGCATCTATCTGCTCTTCTCGGCATACCAGATTCGGTCGGGCTACCCCACCCGCATTCTGGGGAACTTCCTCACCAAACAGTACACAATCTTCAACAAGACGGCCTTCAGAGGGTGAGTGTAGAGGCTGCTTACTGGTCACCACGGACGCCTTTGGCGTTACGTTCGTCCCTATACAGTGTCGTGGTGGTGATATTGACTTGAACGACGCTATTCAACAACCTATATTACTTACAAATAACTGAGCCCTGGCTTCTTTCCAGGTTTATGCTGATTCCGTTCCTGTACGAGCTGAGGGCCCTGATGGATTGGATGTGGACCAAAACATCTCTAGATATCTTTAATTGGCTCAAGATGGAGGATATTTATGCCCATATATTCTTGATCAAGGTAACCAGCTTATATACACACATATTTTTGTTTGTTTGTTATATACGTTTGTTATATATATATATATATATATATATATAGTAGATCATAAATATGTGTATTTGTACACGCGAACATGCTGTACACCGTGTATGGCAGCACCAAGGTCCTAAAGAAACGCCCTGCGGAGATGGTGCTGCACGACGATTCTGGCTATTACTGATTCAGCGATGGCTAAGGCGGCGGGGGTCGACGGCTGCAGATGTCAGGTTGCTTCTGTTGTGCAGTGTTTAAAACTGGCTGATGTCCCGACACTCCACGCCAATCATGCAGTTGTAGACCTGTTTTAGATCCTTATTTTGGAGAGCTTCAGTCGTTTCGAATCAAAGTATTTTTAAGGTCAGCTGGTCCATAATTAACGTGCAAAAGCAAACAAGCTGTGGGTTCTCCCACATTCATGTATGTCTAAAGTGTCTCCCGATTCATGTATGTCTAAAAATCAAATGGTGGCGGTTCAAAGTTGACCGTGCCGTAACGGACGTAGCCGTGCATTGGCCTGTTGACGGCCGACCGATTCAAAGTTGACCGTGCCGTAACGGACGTAGACGTACACCGGCGTGCTGACGGCTGACCTATTCAAAGTTGACCGTGCCGTAGCGGACGTAGCCGTGCATTGGCCTGCTGACGGCTGACCGATTCAAAGTTGACCGTGCCGTAAGGGACGTAGCCGTACACCGGCCTGTTGACGGCCGACCGATTCAAAGTTGACCGTGCCGTAACGGACGTAGCCGTGCATTGGCCTGCTGACGGCCTGCTGACAGCCGACCGATTCAAAAATGACCGTGCCGTGACGGACGTAGCCGTACACCGGCGTGCTGACGGCCTGCTGACGGCCGACAGCGTCCATTGGCCCGACTAGCCCAGCACTTCTCGCACCAACACTCCCGATCCCTGCTGAGGAGCCCCTGTCCGTGGCACGCAACACCACCTGGCCATCCTCGGGAAGGCGTTCTTTAACCGAACGCTCCTCTCCACCACCCTGCATTCTGACCTGTTGACCTGACCTCCACGCCACCCCTGCTGACTTACCTCCGGGCCGGCCGCTCCAGTGTCAGCGCGTGCAGGAGGAGACGCAGGTGTACGTGAGCGGCGAGCCGCGGCGCACCACCGAGAAGTGTGTGTTCGGCGGCGGCTGGCTCCTGCTGATCGTCGCCGTCATCTTCGCGCCGCTTGTCGTCTTCGCGCTGAGCAACGCGGTCGGCCTGCCGAACGTACCATACGAGGTCACCCTGGAGCTGAGCGTGGGAGCGTACGAGCCCGTGTTCCGCATGACGGCCGAGCAGAACTCGCTGATCAGGTGAGGATGCCAACCGGAGACCGAGGCGCGGGGCGAGGGCGGGCATCGGCGGTCCGGTCGGGCTGGTCGGACACGCGGGGTCGGTGCACGCGCGCCCACAGACTCGCCGGACCGGCGGCGGCGGACGTGAGAGCGGACGCCCGAACGATGCCGGCTGGCCGCGGTCGGTACCGAATGTCCGGGTGGAAAGAACGAACAAAATGACATGAAGGTCTGGAACGACACGAGTGGCCGCCGTGTCTGAATGACTTTTCTGGACGTCTTGGGCTCGACGGGTGTCTGAACGAGCGACCCCGCACTGGAAACAGCCAAAAGCCAATCTCCCGGTAGAGTGTCCAAAGGAGGCGCGCTGAAGTGACACCTGCGCGGGTATCTTGGCCCGATGCAGGCGGCCGGCGCGGCGTCAGCACCGGTCTGGCCGAGGGCATGTGTGCCAAGTCCGGTAACGTGCCGGCCCCGCTGCAAATATCAGAGTTCGGTGCAGCGTCTCATGCGGTCAGTGTGGCCGTGCCGAGTCGTAGACGCAGGGCCGCCGTCTCGTCCCCATGTGAGGTGAACGGGACCGCGTCCTCCTCCCCCCCCCCCCCCCCAGGCTGACCTCGGGCGACCGGGGGCTGTCACAGGCACTCGCTGGCTGTGGTGTGTGCAGATGGGGATTTTGACGTTTGAGCTTTGTTTGGAAGAAAATAATTATGCTCATAAATGACTATGGCTGATATTGGCTGTAAGATAGCATTGAGGTCTGAGATGTTGCGTCACTTAAGAAGGCTCTGAAAAGACGTGTTCTCTGGTGCATTTACTTACCGGCCGTTGATGTTGCTCCTGGAGATTTTTAACTCACAAGAAGCCTTGCTCGTAGATCGATGTAGACATCCCACCCACATGCTCGTCTAATAAGCATTTTCGGCATACTTATGACGCATCATAGTCGCCATGAACTGGTCGCATGATACCAAGGCTGCATTCCAGTATGGTAGCTGCTGGCCTTCGACAAAGTTGCGGCGCACTGCCCATAATCTCGAGGGATTTGTATTGATCGCGCAATCCAGACGGTCTGAGCTCACGGTTTGCGGTGCTCATGAGATGACGCGGGAGAGCCAAAATCGCGGAGTGGGGGCCGGGTAGTTACAGGCGCGCTGAACGCGTACACCAAACACCACTGAGGTCCGTTCACTGGGTGCAAGGAGCACTTAAGTCACAACTAGCACCCATGTCCAAGTCATTTTATTATGTAACTCAAAACGTGATCCGTGATCGAGGTTCGAACCGTTTATCCTCGTTTCTCGTTTCTTGTTTCTTGTCTAATCCTAAATTCTTGCCACGGCCCCCATACCCGGGGCGTGGCTGTATGCGCTAATCACGAGCGGGCTGAGAGGCCCCCTGGGAAGGGGGGACCCCGACTGAGTGCCCAGCGCACACCCTGCGAGGCCCCCTGGGAAGGGGGACCCCGACTGAGTGCCCAGCGCACACCCTGAGATGCCCCCTGGGAAGGAGAACTCCGACTGAGTGCCCAGCCCACACCCTTAGAGGCCCCCTGGGAAGGGGGACCCCGACTGAGTGCCCAGCGCACACCCTGAGAACCTCCTGGGAAGGGGGACCCCGACTGAGTGCCCAGCGCACACCCTGAGAGCCTCCTGCACGCATCACAGCTCGAGGGTTGGTGCCCAGGCGCATGTGGTCCTGCCCCACCGTTATCCATATTCTTTCATCCCATTGCCTGGAAACGGCCAATTCTGATCTTACGGGTTCTAATCCAAACAACCAACAGTCAATCGTGATTGAAGCTCGCACAGCCTGCTCAATTTTGATTGGGACTCCAGTGACGTTCATTGCGTCTGGGAGTCGTGTTCACGAGCGCCAGGTGTAAAACGGCTGGACGATTTTATTCTTATTGGCCTTGAACGCCGTATGGTGTTTCCTGTGGCATGCGTCCTAGTGGTGCGTGGCCAGTGGGATGGTGGGATTTGAATGGCGTTTCTGTGGCGTCATGCGGGCCTGAACGACCTTGCAATAGTCTGCACGAAGAGTCTGGTCACCTTCGCGGGCACAAGGCTCAGTAACTTATAGGGTTTAGATCATAAGAAGGGTAGGGCTATGCATTGCACGGAATAATCTTCAAAATGGCCTTTTCAATTCAAAAGCCCGTACAACTACCGAACACTCCCTTTAAATATGCAAATTATCTGCTACCTCATCGGGTCTGGAACGGTGTCTGGACGGCCTCCTTTGCCGCAGCATCACGGAGAAGGACCTGGACGACATCAGCTTCCACTACCGCAGCGACCGGGGCGCGCTCGGCTTCCTCGCCGAATACGACTACGCCGACATCAACATCGTGCAGCTGAGTGGCAAGTCGACAGCCGTCTGGGCCATCTCTCCTCCGTCTCAGGTACGGCTCCGGTGACGTTGGCAGCATTTGCGGCGACTCGGACGACAAATAACGTCATTCATAACGTCATTCATAACGTCACACCACGTAGATTCTGCGCCTTTTGGTGTTCGCAGCGACCGGGACGATGAGCACTCAACGTGACGTCACGCAGAATCTTTGCTTGACGCGCGGATTCTTTTTCGGCAACTTGATCGACGTGAGACAGAAATGACACAGAGTCACATATATAGAAGCCCCTGTGCGTGGTCATGGCCGACCGCGGATGATTAAACGGTCTTTTATACGTTATTAACAGCGTAATTCGCAGTTTCCATTGTTGGGAGCACGCAAAGTACCTACAACCGGAAGTTTCAGTGTCCTTACAAGCGCACTTACTGTCACGACAGTAACGAAGCAGTAAACAGAGCGCGTCACGCGGCGAACGCATCCGGTAAAGATTCTACGTGACGTCACGTAAAATAGGTGCGCTGCGAATACAACTATTGTCTCTGACATCAGCTTTCGACCCCGTGTGTCGCCCGTGCTCCGCGCCTGCCTCCGTCTCATCGGCCTGCCCTGCCCGTGCGGCGCGTGTCCGTCGCCCCGGCGCCGGCTCCCGCGGGCGTGGACGCGGCTCTGACACCTGCCTCCGCCAGCGGCGGTGGGCGGCTGTGTCACGTGTCACTGGTCGGCCGGTGTGTTCGGCGCGCGTCCGTCCGCCCCGGCGCCGGCTCCCGCGGGCGTGGACGCGGCTCTGACACATGTCTCCGCCAGCGGCGGTTGGAGGCTGTGTCACGTGTCATTGGTCGGATGGTGTGTTCGGCGCGCGTCCGTCGCCCCGGCGCCGGCTCCCGCGGGCGTGGACGCAGCTCTGACACCTGTCTCCGCCAGTGGGGTTGGGTGGCTGTGTCACGTGTCATTGGTCAGCCGGTGTGTTCTGCGCGCTGCGCGCGTCCGTCCGCTCCGGCGCCGGCCCCGCGGGCGTGGACGCAGCTCTGACACCTGTCTCCGCCAGCGGCGGTGGGCGGCTGTGTCACGTGTCACTGGTCGGCCGGTGTGTTCGATGCTATCCCGGAAAATGTGCGAGCTTACCGCTGTCTGTCGGAAGTTGGAGCTTGCCGTGCATGTGGCCGTGGCCGTTAACTTTCTCACGTTGCGTGTTGGTCGACTTCTGACCTTATCAGTGGCTCCTGGTGGGTCTCCAACGTTTGACCTTTCATAGGGCGTTGGCGTATGAGGTCTCGGTCGATCTCTCACTCTGTGACATCGCTGACGCTTACAGTGGTCCCCGACCCACAACTTCTTCTTGACCTCTCGACCTCAACACTCATTTATTTAGGTTTGACTGTGACCTGCGACGGCGTTCAGGCGGTCCTCAACATTTCAGCCGTTCGGCATGCGCTTCAGATCCGTGATCTTAATCCTCTTTGCTCCGGAGCCATGCACGACAACTTCATGCTGGCGTGCCATTCTGTAAACCACCCTGGAAACCATCGTTTCGTGGGAACGCAGCGGATAATTCGGAAAGAAAACGGAAAATCGTGGTCCCGCCGGGTGATCCACCTTTTAATAAACTACTGTGCAAGATCGCTGCGTATAATGCCGTGCCAAATGTCACCGAAGGGAGCCGATAGAATACCGTGAATTCATTTGCAGCTGTTCAATCCCCTGACCTCATGTAACTGTCTGTTGTCATGAACATTCGTCACTGAAATTCCAATAGTAGATAGCTGACATGCTTCGGTAAATCGTGACGCGAGGTCATGTCAAGCTGTCATGACATGTGAGCAACGTGTTGTGCACACGCGGGGACCGCGATGCGTGCAGCGTGTGGTACCGATCTTTACGAGACGCTCAACGTGCAGAGCATCACAAGCGAAGCCAAACAGAGTATTTTTGTCATACAGACGATTCCATACTCGCAGCAGCTCATGCCTACTATCGCGAAACCCGGAGCACTCAAAGCGCCACAATATTTTCGTTTTGAGGCGCGATGACGGGTTTACATGCACCGTGCTGATCGCGGCCAGCGCAGGGCAGCTGTGCAGATAAATTTGCATTGCCATTGTGCATTGCCTTTGCTCGGGCAGGCTACCTCGGTGATGGTTTTGTTCCATTGAAATATGGACATGTTTTCCGTCGGGGCCTCTGCGAGTGGGCGGGAAATGCGTGACGATCCAGACTTGTTGCTCGGTCCATGTGTTGGAGACGACTACTGCAGCGGATCTGGTGGGCCCAGCCGACGGCACGGGGCCACCGGGCGGCGGACGACCGGCGGGTCATGTCAACGACTGGGCTCGAGTCGCGCGAAGCTGCCGGAAGTGCGAATGAGCCTACCATTATCCCGAACTTTTGCACGCAAATACCAACTCTTTTAAGATGTGAAAGGTGGTGTCGATGGTTCCTTTAGAACGCTTGCAAAATACAGAACCTGTCTCCTTTGGATGGCGATGATGCCTACGGTTTGATCTCGAAACACGAAACGCCCGAGTGTTTCCTGCACCTGTTTGGATCCACCGACCATTCCACCACGTTATTGCTGCAGTTCTTCCTTGTTTCGTTTCGTTATTGGGATGAGCACCCATTGCTGTGCATGGCCTGTCGCTTTTGTGTGGAACATCTCCCGTGGTAATCATCAGCGTGATGTGTGCACGACTGGGACCTGATGGCCTTTGTCGCTGCGCATAGCTTGGTGTCGTCGCCATTACAGAGCGGGCGCTGTTGTGTGCGCCCCATGTCGCACGGTGTGATCAGCAGCGGATGAAAGCAGCGATCATTCCCCCGGTCTCAAGATGCACCATGCAAAATAGTTCCATGTACAGCAGAAGGTCACAGGTTCAGACACAGCCGGCGGCTGCTGTGGCATTTACCGTAAAGGTCTTCCAAATGTTATCGGCAGGCCGGGTGGGCCTTCGACCGAGAGTCGCGCCCAGTCTGACCGGCCCCGCGCCCTGGCACGGTCCGCAGTGTGTGTGGCTCGCGACGCGCGTCTCTGGTGGGCGGGAGACGTCTCCGTCGTCTGCTGACGCCCATCGATTTCGCCGCTGCTGCTCTCGTGGAGCCGCGGCTGCGGTCCACCCACCTGTCCTGGCACGCCGCTGCTTACCTCCGCCTCGAAGGCGACCGTCTCATGGCTACCGGCTGGTCTCGTGATGAGCCAGCGATAATTTTTCTCTGCAAGTAATCGGCTCAAGGGTGGCCATGCGGCTCGCTGGCGGCACATGACGGAGCGAGCTCTACCGAGATCCAACGTAACTTATCGCCTGATCAGCGCTGATGAGATGTTCTACAGCCCCAGCCTTTATGAGCTATTACAGCACTGGGCCACGCTTGGTCAGGCCGATCGAGCCTCGCTTGGCATGACCTGACCTGACCTGACCTGACCTGACCTGACCTCTCCGATGGTGACGCCGGCTGACATCAGGCCAGATCCCAGCCCGGCACGGTCGGATACGACCTGACAAGCCTGACGTGGTCGGACGCAGTCTCACTGGTGAACCATCAGCTGGCACGTGTGCTCCGGTGTTGAGCCGAGGCTGACCCGATGTCGAGGTCAAGAGGCCAAGATGAAACCGTGCGCGCGCGGTTGATTCACCAAATTGGTCTCGCCCTCCCTCCCTTCACGACCCTGACCAGCGGAAGATCGGTGCCAGAGGTCAGTGGCGGGCGGAGAGGTGACGCCGCGTGCCCCCGCCACAGGCCCGGCTCATCGAAGACCTGACCGGTAACGACACCATGTCGCTCAAGCTCGCCTGGTACGTGAAGCGGATCTCCAACTCGGCGGCCGTGGCGGCCGAGTCGCACGACTACCGCAAGGTCGACCTGCCGCCGTACATCAGTAAGTGCCCCAGCGGCCTGGCTAAGAGCCTTAGTTTGGAGGTCGAAAGGTCTGGGGCTCAACCCCCGCCCTCGGAAATTTCTACCGCCGCTGTTTTTGTCATGGGGCGGCTACGAAGCGTGTTAGTGCTAGTCGATAGCTCACGGTGGACCACTGCTGCGTTGTAATCAAACTTAGGTTGCGGGTAAATTGGGTAACGGCGTGATTTGTCCCGCGTTACGTTGCTGCTCGACGGCATAGTTGACATTTTCTGACATTGGGTCAGGGGAAAAGGCTCAGATTTACTCACCAAAATCGGTGACAATGAGTAACATTTTATTTGCCAGTTCGTGATAAGATATCGAAAGAGTACTGATATCAAGACCTCCAAGTCACCCTGGTGATGCAACTCGCAGTTTGCCATTGCGCACAACGTGCGTGGGTGTTAAGCACGTACCGAAGTATCAGCTCTCTGGCTTTTGGATAAAGGGAGTTTATATATGTCCCCAAATTCTCTAGCTTTCTTTGAGATACTTAACACACGTGACAAATCTCATAAAATGTACTATGTCGGCTTCGGCGGCACGTATCGATGACGAAACGTCGGCTTTGACGGCACAGATCGGTGGCGACACGGGGCTGGTGCAGGGCTGGTGGCATCGGACTTTTTAGTTGTTGTTTTTTGACAGCCAGATTCGTAAAAAAACTGAAGGGGAGTGTTCCTCATTGGCGTGGGGTTTTGAACTGAAATGACACCTTGTTGATCATTCGATACAGTTCGCAGCCCTGCTCTTCTGAAGACAAAAACCCTTTTCGTTTCTCAGTTACACGCCCGTGAAGATGTGGAGGCTATTTCAAGGTCACCCAGGGATCCATTATGGCATGCGGCGATCAAAGCCAAACAAGATAAGATCGTCGAGTCGTTTATATCTGGCGTGCGTGAGCATGATTTCGACCAATACCCCAAAGGTTATCAGACATTTATCATGATAAAATATGTTTTCCATGGAACGAAAGATTTGTTCTTTGCGCTCATTACGGAGAACATGGAACACTTTTCTTGAAAACACCAGGTAGGTTGGGAGCGAAACCCACAATTATTGTGTTTGACTTCATCGTACTTCTAAACTTGTTCATAAACCGAATCTGTGTTGTAGAACAAATTTTCCTCCAACCTGCAAGGTAGTGGTGGCAAAAGCAAAAGATATCCTGTGCCAGGAGTTCCAACTGGGAGAATGGAGAAGCCCTCTCCTAAGCGGAGGAAACGAGGGTTTAGAGGAGCAGCGATAACAAGCGCGACGTAAAAAGATTTCGCAAAGCGCGGCACTGCAGCACAAACGCTTAGCCCAAGATATGTGCTTTACCTGCAAGTCAACGAGAGCGGTATTTCTCCTGGCATTGAGTATTCAGGCCCAAGCAAGATACCGGAGCTCAATCTGGGGTTAGATTGGTATTGGCCGAATACAATCGCTTCGCACACTGTGAATGCAATCGCTGCGTAGAACACTTCTATGGACCCACCCACCGTCTGGCCTGTTTGCAATGTGAGGGGAGAATGTAACGGATTGGTGTTAATTAAGTTGCGTTTTTTTGTGTTTTTTTTGGGGGGGAATCACCTTTTGATCCATCCACAGCAGGAAATGGACATAAAAAACGTTGGATAGCGCCAGCGAAGCAGAGGACTAGATCCAACCAAGTGTCCCAGACGATCTGCTCGCAGGCAGTCCACCTGGTGATACGCTGGTTAACCCTGAGGCCCGCCTTCGGCCGTCGCAGTCAGGCCTGGAAAGCCTCAGTCAGGCCTTCACGTGAAAGGCCGTCCGATCAGCCCAGTGCCCGGATGCATGACACTGCACATGCGGTGACGAGCAGCGACGCGCTTAACCACGCCTTCACGATCAAGTGTTCATCCTTGGATTTGACTGTCCATCTTACGCTTGTTACAGGTCCATAACGTGTTCAGCTGCTGTCCCTGTGGACAGTTCAAACCAGGCAACACCAGCCGGGGGATTGTTTCCCAAGGGTAGAGTATGAGGGTCTCAAGAGGGGGCGAGCGACGAAGCCGAATCCTGTCTGGGTAGGCACATCGCCAAGGGCAGGCCCAAAGTGGCCGTCCTCTCCCGAGCCAAACTGTTTACATCAGACACGTGCAGCGACGAAGCCGAATCCTGTCTGGGCAGGCACATCGCCAAGGGCAGGCCCAAAGTGGCCGTCCTCTCCCTAGCCAAACTGTTTACATCAGACACGGGCTGATTGCGCAGGAATTTGCTCAGAATTCGCAGGATTTCGGAGGAAGCTGGTATTTGTCCCCTCCTCCTCCCAGAGGCAAATTTTGGCCACGTATCCGTGCTTGGGTCAAGAAAGATAACCATCCAGGCTCCAATAGCAAGCAGACGGGCGCTGAATGGAAAATGCTTTTGCACGAGCATCTGCAGGCGCCACGCACACTGAATGGAAGGCAGGGGTGTACTTAACTATTCATTCTGGGGCGGGGCTGCCCTCCCCTCCCCTCCCTCAAAAAGAAACTGAGCAAAAGGTTGATCTGAGAAGAAATTGCGGTTTCTTAGGAGTGGTTTTATCTATTTTCCCCGCTTTTTCTAATTGTTTTGCGAGCTTTCAACTTTGGCCAAAAGCAGCTGCCATGGAGGCCAAAATAGGAACAGTGTTTCCACTGTCCTTGCGTGTTCAGTTACGAGCAAGATACGGGGAGGCCATTGGTTTGATTGGTGAATGAATGCAGTGACTGTTCGGACCACTTCTCTGGGCTCATCCGCCGTTCGTCCATATAGGAATATGGTTCTGCTGTTTGGTTTGAAGGTAACTAAAAATTTGGTTTGTCCTCTGCGGGAAAAAACGAAAGTTTGGTAAGCACTTTCATATGTCACCAGAAAGCGGTCCTGTTCTAAACTTTGCAGATTTGCACCAGCCGCCGGGCCTTGGAAGGGGCTATTACGCCACATGAGCTTTTCGCGCGATCATGGCAACCTTTTCATTTCAAAAGGTTACCAGCCTGTGCCATGGCGTCACGCTATGCCCGCCCTGGACTGATCGCGTCTCGCTCTCTCTGTCTCTGGGTGCAGAAGACCGGAGGAATCCGACCCGGCAGCGGCTGGCGGCCATGCTGCGCGGCGATCTGCCGGCCGGCTCCAGCGTCTCCATCGACCACGTGTTCCCCAAGTTCATCCGGGTCACTAATCAGGTCAGTGCCGACCGCGGCCTGCTATAGGGTCACCCGAGTAACGAGCCAGGTCAGTGCCGACCGCGACTGGTGAAAGGGGTTCCGGAAGTCACCAATGGTAATTGATGTCTGCGAGAAGCCCGTCTCCCCTCCTCATGGGTGGATCAAAGGGAGAAGGGGGGGGGGGACAACTACACTTCCCCTCCCCCAGGTGCCCAAATTTTGGCAAAGAATGCACATTGTTGGACTTGAAAGGCAATCTAGGCGACTTTTACGAAGAGGTTTTGTTTAAGAACATTCTTTGGGGTAGGAAAGGAGGCCGATGAGTTTTAAAAAAAAAATATGGCAGCTTTTGGGAATGAACCACCCAAGCCGACGTTGCCACCCATCCCCCCCCCCCCTCCTCAAGGCAAAATCTTAGATCCGTACTGGTTCTTCTCAAACCATACGATGCATTTAATTGCAGTTTGTGTCAGCGGGTGTTCCGATATGAAGAAAAGAGATAATCAAGCCTGAGAAGGTATACTGTAAGGCTGATACCTTTTCTCGCTGGGTGGTAGATCTAGATCCCTTGGATCTGGATGCAAGGATGGGTCGCTGCTTTTTTGGATGTGTCACTGATGGAAGGGCAAGATTTCCTTGCTACGGCACCGGGTGCCGACGGTGCTGTAGAAAACGTATGCCGTATTCAATTCATTAAATGCCGATAACGCCGCTGGCAGCTGTCAAAGCTTGCTGCCTCTAGCTGGTACCCATGCACCCAAATTGAGGGTAGTCTTGTGGGTGCTGGTGTCGAGTTTTTAACACTCTCCCGGATGGCGGGGTGAATACTCTTTGCTCGGGTGGGGGTCAATTTAATCCTCCTAGGATCTCGCAGACCAAGAAAGCTAGGGGCACCAAACATACAGGATCGGTTGACCTGTATGTGAACTCACTTGTGTGGTTTAAATGGGAGGCTCATGACCTTGGGTTAAACAAACTCAAACAAGGTCAAACTCCAGATTTGCGCCCAAAGTGCCTACAAACCGCCCATGCAACCGCCGTCAGCCTGGTTACCTGTGGAAATCAAAAGGTTAATGGTATTCCTTTAAGGTCAGTGACCTTTTTTGACCTTTATAGGGTCAACGTGACCAAAAAACATTGAGATTTTGAGGAATACTGCACGGCGTTCTCCAGTCTTAGCGGGCGGGCACGCATCAACCGACGGTGCCGCGGAACGCGCACGGCGGGCGAACTCGGGTAATTAACGGAGCCATGTATCAGTAAATATGCTCGAAACAGCAAAATATACACCAATATACTCAGAATCGAACGGGGAACGTGTCTGATTAGGTTTCGTGCTGCGACAAGGCGTAGCCTCGTATGCGTGATGTAAAGCTGAGAAGTGCAGTTTTCTGAAATATTTGTCCTTTGAGCCGGCATAATGGGATCAATTATTGACCTAACAACGTGTAAACCGATGATAATCGCAAGATCCCGTTGAGATCAATCCACTGGTGTTTTCCGCCACGCTCTATCTTCATACTTTGGAAACGCCAGGTGGTCGCACCAACCCCCCTACCAGTCTGCGTCTTGAAAACGGCGAATCAGTGCGAGAGTTAAACAATATTTTGTGCGTGATCGCCCCAAAATTTTGAATTTGAATATGCATGCCTCGCGAGTAGCGTGTATAAAGTCAACGAAAGCCGTGGTAGTGGCGACATTTTGTGTTATGTAGATGAGAGCAGGGAGAGTCGTATCAGCTTTACTCTGAGGTCGTCGTCGGCTCGGCTTTGGGCTCGACGACACACTCGCTGCTGAGACTATATGGCGTCGCCTGCCTCTCACCCTGGCAGGAAGGGGGGGGGGGGGGGCGCCGCGCGGAATCGAGCCCCGTACGTCTGGTTTTCCAGACTAGTGTGGTTAACGCAGACGCGTTAACCGCTACACTATCGGCACCCGTACTCTGAGCACCCTCCTGTTGTAATTAGTGGTGATAAGACTAAGATTCTTCTACCTGCAAATATCTATAATCTTCAGCGTCATATGAAGCGGCAAAGTTTTAGTGGGGAAGTTGTAGTTATGCATTTTTGCCATAGAGGACGTTAATTCGCAAGCATGCGGAGTGCGTCACAACACGTGGACCAAATTCGCTTGGTTATGCTATTTCGTAATTTGTCGTAATTACGACATGGCAAATATTTGCCGTTTGTATCAATCAATCATTTTACGACTGATGCCACCTCGGTTTCGGTTGCTCAGGTAGAAACCATGGATCTACGCAAATAATGTAAATGTCACCTTGTTTTCTGGGCAACAGTAAGTCATGACAACCATGCCAGTCTTCTGTTGTCAGAATCATTGACCTGCATGATGCATACGCACTTCTTGTTGTCTGTGGCAATAGCATTGGTACCGATATTGTGGCACAAATAACTTGAGATATTTGACCGCGGAAGTAATGAACCACATTTTAACACAGTTATCAGTCATGCGGTCCTATTTTGTGATATATATATATATATATATATATATATATATATATATATATATATATATATATATGTGTGTGTGTGTGTGTTTTCACTTTGTGACGTTTGTTTTTCATTTGCTTAACACATCATTTTTATGATTTGTTAATGCATGGTGACATTTTCCCTTGTCTCTAAATAGGTGACATTTTCACGCCTCATCTACCTTGAACAGATTAAGCAGGCACATCAAATTATGTGCATCTGGGAGGGAATCGGTGCCGTTCCGCTGATTTCCAAGTATCCAAGATCTATTCAGTCGTCTTGCATTTTGTGTTCTTAGAACCATGCTAAGCTAAACGAGGCATCACTGGGCGTGTACAAAGATTTTGAAGTGAAAGATCCCTCCATGCCCAGTTGGCTCTGACCGAATTATATTTTCCGTGGCATTAAAGAACTGCGCGATCGTCTGGTTTTAAGAGCTTAAGCTTTGTTTTCCGCCAACCGGCGCCTAACTGTAGTTGCAAGTTAGATCTACATTGTAATTATTCGGAAATTTCGCTCTCTTATGTTGTGCAACACAAACAGAATCTCGCTTTGTATTGTTCTCGACCCAACCACCGTTAATCCCGCCGTAGGAGTCGGCCGCCATGATGGCGGTGAGCGCGTGCCAGCCAGCGGTGGCGCGATTCCAGAGCGCCATCTTGCAAAGCCCGTGTCTCAGCGCCGGAAGGGGCGGAGCCTCAGATCTATCCACCAATGGCAACGCTGACAGCGATTTTCCCCGCCAACACGGGCGGGCCTGGCTGGTCGGTGTTGGGTGCGTGTCGTCTGTCGTGCGCGGCGGGACGAGCCCGGACCGCGGCAACGGGGCGAGCCGCTGGGACGCGCAGAACCCCGGCCGACTGAGGCAGTGGTGAGAGCAGAGTGTCCGGTCCTGATAACAGCTGACCTTTACGGCTTCCAAAGACGTGACGTTTGGGAGATAGAGGTACAAGTGCCGACAACCAGTTATGGTTTACAAGTTTTCTGGAGGATTAGGTTTGGAAGAGGATAAAAGGACTCCCAGGGCATGTTCGGAGACGGGCGGCAGGCCATATTCAGAGTGATAACCACACCTGCACTTGTTGCAGCTCGGCGTGCATGAAACCGATTCTGGCGTTCGGATGTCAAACCGTTGTTGTCATGGGGGCTTTACGACGCACTCACCTGCTGAGGCTCTTTGACGTCGCCTGTTTTTCCTGCTGGTAGAAAGGGCGTGCACCGCGGAGCATCGGACATCTTGTTTTCCAGACGCGCAGCTAACCAATACGCTGTCGTTACGTCACAGGTGTGACAAGGCATCAGCTTTATTTGATATGTTTGTGATGAATCTATTTTTATAGGACTTTCAACCACACCAATAACTTGCTGGAGAAGCGTCGGTGTCCAAGCCTTTGCTTGGCTTAGCTTGCGCGGACACTGACCATACCGTCAGCAGGCGTATATCCAGATCCCAGATATGGATCCCCGGATCGCATGCGTGAGGCCGGAACCCGGACGTTCTAGAACCCGGGATCCATTTTAAAATTTTGTCGAATGTTCTTCTGAGATCTTTGATCTTCCAATGGTTTGAAATACACAAGTTACGTGACATGTTTAACAACCTTGTAGGCCGTCTGTCTATTTTCGTGAGAATTTATTTCGAACTTTGTCATGGGATAGACCGACGGCCATGGGCTCAGTATGATGGATCGAGGGGCTGACCATGGGTCATTTGAACCGGTGCCGTTAGGGGGCACCGGTTCGCAGGGCCGGTCCCTCAAATGTAGGTCAGAGGACCCTCCGCGCCGATCGGGAGCCCGCTGAGTCGACAACGGACTGTGTATCGGCCATGCACCACCAGTACCGAACAGTCGGCTCCAGTCACCGGTACCGAACAGTCGGCTCCAGTCACCGGCTCCAGTCACCAGTACCGAACAGTCGGCTCCAGTCACCAGTACCGAACAATCGGCTCCAGTCACCAGTACCGAACAGTCGGCTCCAGTCACCGGTACCGAACAGTCGGCTCCAGTCACCGGCTCCAGTCACCAGTACCGAACAGTCGGCTCCAGTCACCGGCTCCAGTCACCAGTACCGAACAGTCGCCTCCAGTCACCAGTACCGAACAGTCGGCTCCAGTCACCAGTACCGAACAGTCGGCTCAAGTCACCAGTACCGAACAGTCGGCTCCAGTCACCGGTACCGAACATTCGACTCCAGTCACCGGTGACGAACAGTCGGCTCCAGTCACCAGTACCGAACAGTCGGCTCCAGTCACCGGTACCGAACAGTCGGCTCCAGTCACCAGTACCGGACAGTCGGCTCCAGTCACCAGTACCGAACAGTCGGCTTCGGTCACCAGTACCGAACAGTCGGCTCCAGTCACCAGTACCGAACAGTCGGCTCCAGTCACCAGTACCGAACAGTCGGCTCCAGTCGCTAGTACCGAACAGTTGGCTCCAGTCACCAGTGCCAAACAGTCGGCTCCGTCGCCAGTACCGAACAGTCGGCTCCGTCGCCAGTACCGAACAGTCGGCTCCAGTCTCCAGT